AGACCACCACGTGAAATTTGATCGTTCTGTCAAAATACACCTCGCCACCTGTTCTATGTTTCACGTTTCCCAAGAATAGCCGTAATGCTTCACGTTACATAGCCAGGCGTCCTCGTACAGCTGACACCATTTTCAAATAAAACCTAGGTTTGAGCTGTGAAACGACCTACCTTATGACTCCTTCCTTCCGAGTGAACGTATGACCCAGTGAATGTAAAAGCTGGATAAGGTCTTCACGTTAACAGTGACAACACACCCCGGCACTGGTCCTCCTCGCTCGGACAGCTCGCTTCTGTCGAGTTTCCCTTATGCAAACAATGTAGGTCACATGACTTGACATGTGAATCAAGATGGCGGGGGTATTATATCGCAATGTGAACGTGGTGGCGAAATTGTGCTATCAGTTCGTGACCAACTCGTGTTATTCAAGGTCAGGCTGAAGGGGTATTTTAGGAGATTACGAACGAATGAGTGCTGAGTCGCCTGTCACCCTCATATTCCCAAGCTTCGTTTGAGGTCAGCCCAAGACGTGCGTCGATTATATTTAACATGCAAGAGGACTAGTGTGTTGTGTGTGTGTGTGTGTGAGAGAGAGAGAGAGTGAGGGTGGGTGTTTGTTTGTGGGGTTGGGTTCGTGCGTGCGTAAGGTGGTGTATGTGTATGAGTGTGTGGAGACTGATTTAAAAAATATTAAATAATTCAAATTCAATTTTCATTTTTTTCCAAAGCACATCGAAATTCTGTCTCAGTTGTCTATTTAAAATAAACAGGCAACGTTCGGCGTATCAAGTCTCTAGAGAGTGAGACCAGTACTGCTCAACTCTCCCCATAAATGTCAGTGATCACGTTCCTCTAGACTAAGGCTTAGTCTCTGAATATATATAATTTTGATAGTAACAAACAAGCCCATTTATATTGAAAAGGAGCCCCAGGGAGACCAGAGATTCAGAACCTGAACCTGAGGAAATCTAGACTTGCTTTATTTAGGGCTTTAGCACTGCAGAGAGGGCTTGGCAGTAGGGAAAATAATGTGGTTCAGGGACTGTGAGACAGACTAACTTTCCTCCGTCGTCCTACCTTACGTTTATATATGTTGACTTGCCACCGACCTCGCAGCATGCTATAGAACACCTGACACACAGTCACGTGGGAAGGCAGGAATAGGAGACTGACCTCTAGAGTGGAACTTTCTCAACGTGTCTGCAGTGTCATTGCGTGCTTGCAGTCTCAATTGTGTGTTTGCAGTCTCAATTGTTCACCTGTATAACTACAGTCTCAGTTGTTCACCTGCATACCTGTTATTATTCTTTTGTGAATGTGTAGAAATTAAAAGGGACCTTAAGCAAAGACCTCAAGTACAGATGTGAAAATATAGGAAAGGTGACATAAGAAATAACCTCTTAATCAGGAATGTTTACAAAGTTTTCCGAGCCCTGACGGAGTTTGTCGAAGATAATATGAGTAAAGACGTGTGACTGATGGCACTTTATACCTGCATAACTGCAGTCTCATTGCGTGCTTGCAGTCTCAATTATTCACCCGCATACCTGCAGTCTCATTGCGTGCTTGCAGTCTGAATTGTTTACCTGCATAACTGCAGTCTCAATAGTTCACCTGCATACCTGCAGTCTCATTGCGTGTTTGCAGTCTCAATTGTTTACCTGTGTAAAAAGCAGAACAGAGCCGTTCTGTGGGTCCATGTATTTTATTTATACTGAAGACGGTAGACCTAAACAATAAAACAAAAACATTCAATATACATGGTAACATCATGGATGGCCTATCACAGATGAAACATCGTAATCCCATATTACACATTGCTATAAGAATCGCGTATGTCTGAAAGTATCAGATATCATACATAATATCCGATTGTGTAATATATATAGTAATTTATTTTAGATTAGCACAGTGCATAAAAGTACAATATAAACATTCACATGGAAGAAAGCATCTTTTACATACAAAGTCAACTGTACCAATAGCACTTGCATAACTCCCAGCAAAGATACCAGACCCAGTGGGTATGTCACCTCTTATGTAATAGTTTTACACAAGTTAATCTAACTAATAACATACAATAACTAACATGAAAAATAAAGGAACTTGACACCGTTTTCCAGTTGAGGTATATACAACTCACCCCCAACTACCTTGGATACATCTGTCCACAACCGGACGGGGCTTCCTTGCCTAGTAGGATGCGACTACAATACAATGAGTAAACTGACAATTTCATGCAAACACATCGTGGCGATTATAATGATGAATTGCATACTTTTCTACAAACATTATCACACTCGAGGCTAATCTAAGTGCTCCCGCTAACACGCGGTTATGAAACTAACAAGTTGGAACAAATCAAAACAATGGAGTTGGAGTGAAAATTTACGGTTCACGGAAACTGTAGAATGGCAGTGAGCAAGGGAGATAACTGCTTACGGGGAGTGCCAAATAAAATAACAGTACAACCTAAAATTGTCACTAATTAGTGGATCACATAATACAAACAACATTTTATACACTATTCGTTCTCACACAACCATTGAGCAAAAACATGCTTTCAAGTTACAATTCTACTCTATAAACATTGATGACAGTACATTTAAAAAATGAAACATTTTCCCCATAACGAGTTATACATGGATGGCTACGAGATAACAGAGACCTGGTCTCTGGAGATAATCACAATTACTCAAACAATCAACTTTCTGATCAATTAAACTTTGCCAGTGGCGGTATCACAGACAAATATACTGTTATAGCATAACAACACAATTGATAAGCGAAGGGAGTGTACTTACTCGTACATAAGTTGGCTAATTAGAGCTGGACAAAAACAATGCTCTCTGTGGTCAAACAACGTGCTGCTCGACTGGCGGGCTGAAACAAAGGGCCTGCCTTGGGCGCGAGATGAAGCGATAAGAGGAGCATTTCGGGTAACCTCAAAGTAATTACTTACGGCCTGTTATTATTCTTTTGTGAATGTGTAGAAATTAAAAGGCATCTTAAGCAAAGACCTCAAGTACAGATGTGAAAATATAGGAAAGGTGACATAAGAAATAACCTCTTAATCAGGAATGTTTACAAAGTTTGTCGAAGATAATGTGAGTAAAGACGTGTGACTGATGGCACTTTATACCTGCATAACTGCAGTCTCATTGTGTGCTTGCAGTCTCAATTATTCACCCGCATACCTGCGGTCTCATTGCGTGCTTGCAGTCTGAATTGTTTACCTGCATAACTGCAGTCTCAATAGTTCACCAGCATACCTGCAATCTCATTGCATGCTTGCAGTCTCAATTGTTAACCTGCATACCTGCAGTCTCACTGCGTGCTTGTAGTCTAAATTGTTCACCTGCATACCTGCAGTCTCATTGCATGCTTGCAGTCTCAATAGTTCACCTGCATACCTGCAGTCTCACTGCGTTCTTCGAGTCTCAATTATTCACCTGCATAGCTGCAGTCTCAATGCGTGCATGCAGTCTAAATTGTTCACCTGCATACCTGCAGTCACACTGCGTTCTTCGAGTCTCAATTATTCACCTACATAGCTGCAGTCTCAATGCGTGCTTGCAGTCTCAATTGTTTACCTGCATAGCTGCAGTCTCAATGCGTGCTTGCATTCTCAATTATTCACCTGCGTGCCGTCGATACAAAAAGAGTCTTGAACTGATACCGATGCACAGAAAGTGATGCACAAGTGAACATGACTTGCACCGGTGGTAACAGATAAAGGCTTATTACGTCTATTCAGTTGACGTGGGCACCTTGTAGTCTATCATACAGACCCTGAAGCAAATATACCCAATGCAGGCCCTCCAGATAAGGGCCGTATCGGCGTATGTACGGATAAAAAATATGCACGATACGGTAGGAATTTTTTTAGAAAACATCAGGAGGGATGTGCTTTAAAAAAATGTTACACTATCTCATCCAACTGATGCCATATATATGTCTCTATCTCCTCAGAGGGAGCATGTGATTCTGATTTGGTGCAGTAGAACCTGTACAAACGATGTATCTATTGATTTATTGCCCTATTTTTATGAAGGGCTGATAAATCTTTATATAATGTCGCCCTAGGAGGTTCTAAAGCGTAATGCCTTAATGTAGAGGTAGCATAGCTTACTACTAAAGCTGAAACGCTCGCTCAGTTTATTGTTAACCCCTAAGCATGTTGCCTGAGCTACTTACGGCTTTGTTAAATATTTCATACACAAGTTGAAATATCAGACTCTCCCGGTATCAAATCCAGAATATGGTTCTTCAAGTATGGTATTCACATAGATGATACCTGGGACGGAATGTTCCAGTTGTAGGTGGTTTGGAGCATATTGCGTCAACCCAAGCAAGCATTTTGCATGGACCCTGATTTTATACCGCAGTATGTGACAGAAATGGCAACCCAGACTATGACCCAGACAAATTGCAACACCATGGATGAATGTGGGCCTTTCAGCATTATTGAGGACTAAAAAATTGATTGATTGATTGTTTCTTACTAAGCACTCAGCAATATTCCAGCTATATAAATGAGTGACTTCAGGCTTAAAACAACCTCCACTCACTAATATATACGCAACAAAGGCCATTTTAAATACAACCAAATATATTTATTGCTGTTTTAACCATTAACAAATATGCACGTACATATACATCTCAATGAATATATAAAGTGTACATCATAATGTTACCTTGATAATCAAATCTAATGTGACAAAATACCCCATTCATGACTCAAACGTCAGTTAAGATATGAATAGTGTACCCTTGATGCATGCGTCATTGCCCATCATTACATTCCGTCATGTCTGCGGCGTAAAACAACACTCATACTGTAGTGAAGGGTGATATTTGGAAGCGTCCTGATTGAACAAGGAAAATGTTATTTTAAACTACGTTTATAACGAACACGCTTATCACGAACTGTTGGATATAACGAAGTACACAAAGCGGAAACCGGAAACAGAAACCATATGTAATACAGTAATCTAGGGTTATAACACACTGATGTCTCCTGTTCAGGCTTTACACTTAGTACTGACCTGCGTGGTACACAGTTTTCGTTCACTGATATACGGGGACCCTTTTTTAAAGCTTGTGTCGGTTTTGCAAGCACATCGCCTCGTTTTATCTCTTATTTCATGGTTGTGTCTCTCTAGCTCTATTTAGCTAAACCGTTATCAAGCACATATGTATATTCTATTATGCACGCACTCGATCTAAATCAAAACCATTTCACTAACAGATAACGATCGACAGACTGATTATCAGGACCGGGTTTGCTCTCCAATTTATACTCGACGTACGAGTCCCTGAATGGATCGGGTAGTCACATTCTGTGAATTAGTTAATTGCGTGTCAGATTACCCTGGAATCATGCATCCTTGCTCATAATATTAATAACCGGTTTGTGTTAGGTAGATCGTTATTATTCTTGAGGGTAGGTTCCTGATATCACAAAAACAATATGACGTAAGTGAGAAACTTTTCAAACGAAGCATAGCCATAGGTCTCAAGACATTGCTTGTTTGTCGATTTAAGTGAAGCGTCATTTCTCCTTTTTAAACTTTTTACACTCTGCCTTCAGTCGTGATCAAGAGCCTTCACGCCCGCCATTGCTGCGAAGCCCACCAATGCAACAAAGACATTCATCACGCCTTTACCATGGCCGAATGCGTCTCTTAGTATTTCAAAACACGTGACGTAGAGGAACGTCCCACACGCAATACCCTGAAGAACCCCCGACGCCATTGACTGTGCGTCAAGGTCAAGGTTGGAAGACGTCACAGCTATGCCTATGCATATTCCGATTGGCGACATCAAGGAAAAGAAGCAGAGACACGCGAAGGGTTTCTTAAAGTACGGCGCAAAGGCTCTGAAAAGCTGAAGACCAAGACAAAAGGCAACTAGACTTTTGTGAATCGAGATGGCAATGAAGACCTCCCATACTTCTGTCGCTTCCCCCTGCAGCCCCACTGCTAAACCGTCAAATATTGTATGGAAGGACAGCGCGATCAGCACCAAGAACGCACTGAGTCCAGACGCGGCAGAGAGTGCCTCCAGGTCGTGAGCGTGGGTTATAGACCCTTCCTGTTCATTGACACAGGACGCCGAGGATATGCTGCGACCCATTTTGTTCATTTCGTTGTACGGTGCAGGTTTTGCCTGGCTCAACGGAAGTGACGTCACAACCACTCCCGTCATAAACAGCATGGCTAACTGTTCCACTCCGGCGATGAGGAAAAATCCGGCACCAGTGAGCGTCTCGAACATCGGGAAGCCGGTGAAGTTGTAGGCGTTAGTAAGTCCCTGTTCCAAATCCTCCTTGCCCTCAATCATCAGATGAAGCAGACACGTGCCAAGAAACACGCCCCCTGCGAAGCAATTCATCAGACTCAGGACCTTTTCCCTTCGAGCAGATGCGTTGGCACCCCATTTCTTTTTAATGATGAAGTACGGAATTATGCCCAGCAGCAGCGTAATAAAGAAAAGAATGAAGATGGCGATGACTTTGGCAATTGTGACGTCCATTGTCGTTGACCGTTCCGATCTGCAAGTAAAACAATCGTTTTAATGAAAAAGGTGCAACATGTCAAAATGTGGCTCTTGCTATCAAAATATGGCTAGTCCAGGTTAGTGAGTTAGTATGATTTTGCGCCGCTTTTAGCAACCAGAAATGGGCTTCACACATTGTGCTCATGTGAGGAATCGAACCCGTGCCTTCGGCGTGACGAGCGAACGCCTTAACCACTGGGCTACCCTACCTTCCCTTCCCCGCCGTAATAATGTTGAGTTTCATGACGGTTTTCATCGCCATGGTTACGAATATCATTTATGTCATCGTCTTTGCAAAAACCACATGATTACTGGCATTCCTTTATCAACAGCAACATTAGTCAAATTTAGAATGTTTTCAAGCTGATAATCAGCTGATTCATTTGTGCTTCTATCTGTGTTGCAAACTGATAACTTTTTTACTAGTTTCCAAATCAGTTTAGAGTCTGTACTTTAATTTGATATAGAATTCTGATTTCATATTCATTATTCTTGTCACGATATAATCGTCTGTACGATATATTTGGTCACCAGTGGTTCGAAATCTATTTAAAGCATATTTTCCACGTATAAAACAAATTAGTACATACATTGTCATACTACTCTGTATCACGTCGTGATCGAGATGTATAATTCTTATACCACTTTTGGTAGCTGAAGATGTCAAAATTGATTAATAATTATTTACAGTTGAATTTATGTCGCACACAACGTCAGTGATGAATTCAATAAGCGAATAACGAATATAAATGATTTTAATACTCCTCTGTATATCTCTGTTGATTCATGATTCTATGTGTAGCTCTGATTTTCGGCAAGTTTCGAATATTTGAATCATAGACATTAAACAGTGAATATATTAATGATTTGTTTTAAGCAAGACTGTTTCGGAAACCGAGTAAGATCAGAGCAGGGAGAGTATATAACGTTGTAGATTATCCCTGATCAGAGAAATGAGACAATGACGTGAAATTTGATCGTTCTGTTGAAGTACACCTCGCCACCTGTTCTGCGTTTCACGTTTCCCAAGAATAGGCGTAATGCTTCACGTTACATAGCCATGTAGGCGTCTCGTACAGTTGACACCAGTTTCAAGACAAAATTAAGTTTGAGCTGTGAAACGACATACCTGATGACTCCTGCCTTCCGCTTGACCGTATGACAATGAATGCAAAATATGTGCCTTATAAACAACAATGTAGGTCACGTGGCTTGACATGTGAATCAAGATGGCGGAGGTATTTTATCGCAATGTGAAACGTGGTGTCTAAGGTGTGCTATCAGTTCGTGACTAACTCGTGTTATTCAAGGACAGGCTGAAGAGGTATTTTAGGAGATTACGAACGCATGCTTGAGTTATAATCTGTATATGCATGAGTCAGGGTTCCCACAGGAAAGGTAGGCCACAATCACCTGACCTTTCCCTGATAAGCATAGATTTTCCCCTGACAAGTGTAAAAACTGGCCTCTTCCCTCTCCTTCAAATAATTACATTTTTTGTTAATTTATTACATTAACCAAAACATTAAAATATATTTCCCTCGACTCTTCTGCCACAATGTCACATAACACTAGTAGATACATTTGAGTGTAACCATCAAATATATATTCTAAGGCAATGTCAACAAGAAGACATGGTCATCGGGGGCGCGGTGGGCGAGCTGTCTAAAGCGCCAGGCCAGTGATCTAGCAACCTTGAGGTGACGGTATCGAGCCCACATTTGACCGGGTGTAAAAACCGTGGAGTCAACTTTGTGTGCAGAATCTTTAAGTGTTGTCACAGCCCCTAGTGTACAGTACACAACCCTGTGCACTTAAAAGAACCCACGAATCCGTTGGTATATAAGACCAGATGGTGGCCACATGAAAACGTGCAAACACCTAGTTGTGGGTACAGCAACGTGCAGTAAACGTGGACAAAGTACTGTGACTGTGGCGATTACAGTCAAATTTAGCCAAAATTAAAATGAAAAACCCCCAAACCCTACGTTTAAAAAAGTTGGTAAGTTTAAATTTCCTTTGAATGTGATTATAACTGTAAGCAGGAATATAAAATAAATACATTGTTAAAGATAAAACTGCCTGCTGAGGTAACTGAATATGGGGGCGTGGTGGGCGTGGTGGGCGAACTGGCTAAAGCGCCAGGCTAGTGATCCAGCGACCTTGAGGTGACGGGATCGAGCCCACATGTGACCAGGTGTAAAAACCTTGGAGTCAACTTTGTGTGTAGACTCTTTCAGTGTTGTCACAACCCCTAGTGTACAGTACACAACCCTGTGCACTTAAAAGAACCCCCGAATCCGCAGATACTCAAAAATGACTTTAAAATATTTCTCAAACTGAACATTCGTGTCACCTCACCTATTGCACATATAATTTGGTCATGCATGCCTCAATGCCATCGCCATGAAGATGAAATTCTCCATCCACTGTATCAGTGCTACCATGTCCTGCACAAACTTCTGGATCATTTCTCGCAATGTCAGATCATCCACTATTAAGTTTTATAAGCAAATTATGGGCCATGGTGGGTGGGCGAACTGGCTAAAGCGCCAGGCCAGTGATCCAGCGAGCTTGAGGTGACGGGATCGAGCCCACATGTGACCAGGTGTAAAAACCTTGGAGTCAACTTTGTGTGCAGACTCTTTCAGTGTTGTCACAACCCCTAGTGTACAGTACACAACCCTGTGCACTTAAAAGAACCCCCGAATCCGTTGCTATATGACCAGATGGTGGCCACATGAATACGTGCAAACACCTAGTTGCGGGTACAGCAACATGCAGTAACACTTGGACAAAGTACTGTGACTATGTGTCCCAGTCAGCCAGCTGTGAATGGGTGTCTCGTAAGGATTGGAAAGCCACACTAATTCGGTGCGCCTAGTGGCTGCAAGAGTTGTATGATCCCAGGGAGTTGAGATTGATAATACGACGTGTCGTTGAGATTGACATCCAGTGATCGAGGGAAAAACAAAGCGCATATGAGCAGCTGAGCTGGATATCGGCGTTATACAAATATCTGAAAACTTTGTATTTTATATTAAAGGCTTTTAACAAAGAGCATAAATGTGAAAGCAATGATTTAATTGAATTCAAAGTCAGGAACACAGAAACCGTTTACAGAAATCTACAATCTCATTGTGTGCTTGCAGTCTAACCCGTTCACCTCCGTGCCTGCGGTCTCAAATGTTCACATGCGTGTCTGCAGACCCATTGTGTTATTGTAGTCTCAAATATTCACCCGTGTGTCTTCAGTCTCTTTATGTGCTTGCAGTCTCAATTGTTCACCTGCATAGCTGCAGTCTCAATTATTCACCTGCATAGCTGCAGTCTCAATTATTCACCTGCATAGCTGCAGTCTGAATGGGTGCTTCCAGTCTCAATTATTCACCTGCATAGCTGCAGTCTGAATGGGTGCTTCCAGTCTCAATTATTCACCTGCATAGCTGCAGTCTCAATGGGTGCTTCTAGTCTCAATTATTCAACTGCATAGCTGCAGTCTCAATGCGTGCTTGCAGTCTCAGTTGTTCACCTGAATAGCTGCAGTCTCAATGGGTACTTGCAGTCTCAGTTGTTCACCTGCACAGCTGCAGTCTCAGTGCGTGCTTGCAGTCTCAATTATTCACCTGCAGTCTCATTACATGTGCTTGTCTCCAGTCTCATTTCAAGTTTGTGGGTTTTTCTTTAATTTGTTTCTTTTTTTGTTGAGAGGTGAGAGGTGGTGGTGGTGGTGGTGGGGGTGAGGAGGGGGTGTGTGGGGAACGCATGACGGTGTAAATGTCTTGAATTGAATTGATACTGTTTGAAGCTCGGAAAGTGAGGCCTTTTTGAACAAATGACTGTTTCACCTGTAATATGAGATTATAAACTTGTCCATGTTGAACGAAACAATTGATACATGCACAATGTTAAAACACTTGTGAAATGGCACTAAAACATACCGCACAGTGAAAGTATGGATGTATTAAAATAATGTTGAATATATGGCCTAACAGAAAGAAATGAAAGCACGTGAAAAAGTATAAAGGACGACTTAACTAACTATTAGATCAACTATGATCATAAAAGTGCTCGCTGAAGCGGCATCTCATGCAAAGTGCAGAACCGCATTTCTTCTTTTTATTTCTCTGATTATTTTTCTGGACAGAGTCTATGTTCCTGCATCAGTTAGAGGGTGCTGCACATTGAGTAGCGTGTGAGTAATTGAGGAAATACTGCACTATAAAAAGCAGAGATGCTCGGATGACGTCCTTTCTAGAATAAGATACTTTGCGTTAACAGTGGTAATAACATAAAGAAATGCTGCTAGGTTATACATATGACATTGGCTATCACTATTGAATGGGCTCGTCTTCTACTAAATTCCACCTTGTTTACGACAATGACATTTGTCACCACTCGCCCCTTTCCGTAACCTCCAAGAAGACTCGTCCCCCACTCGATACTTGTTCATTCGTGACCAACTCGTGTTATTCCGGGACAAGCCGAATAGCGACTCGTGCCCCTCTGGAAGGATTTCATATTGGCGCATGAACATCAGAACTACTTTAAAAAAGAACGATAACTCTATCCCTGTTTGATTCCAAAGTTTCTTAATATCACAGAAGCACATGTACATTGTATTGCTAGGTTGTTGTTTTGGGGTTTTATAAACCTCTTTGATACAACTAAAGAAGGAGAAAAACATATTTGTTAGACATATTCTAATGTAATTATTACCAGCTGTTCACCTTATATTTCCAATTATGTTAATTTTCTTAATAGGGTTTAATTATCACAAATGGGAATTGTTTTATTGAATATACAACAACAACAAAAATATAAAAAATCAGCTACATTAAATCCCAAAGCAGATACTCAAAAATGACTTTAAAATATTTCTCAAACTGAACATTCGTGTAACCTTGCTGTCACACCCCTGGTGGAATTTCAAATGAATTCGCTGAAAAAAATATGAATGACCAAAAAACACTCAGACTTAAGTATCCCCAGAGCTATGAAATATAAGCCCAATGTTAAAGATTAAGGTTGATTAGTTACATACAAATACGATATTATTGTTTTGAAACTCGTAGCGATTATAATTACATTTCCTAAAATTGGTCGAAGCGCACGTACAATCTCCATAACAAGCCCGCAAAATCGTCAGAAATACACTCAGTTGGACCCCATGAGAGCAGTGATGTCAACAAACGCACGTGCGTGGATTTGAATCTCTCACCGTCAATCGCATGATTCTTATTAAAAACTTCATAATAGGCAGCAAAATCCTTTTAGCTACGTTCTTTGTACTTTCAATATGACGATATATATTTTTCATGATTCTTTAAACAATGACATAATGCCATAAACGATTTAAGTACTCGGGATTATTTTTATCAAAGCACTGCGCTCATTTACGCGCGTTCTGATTGGTTTGTCGTATTTTCGCACATAACAAGTATCCATTCGTCACTACTCGCCCCTTTCCGAAACCTCCAAGAAGACTTGTCCCCCACTCGATACTTGTAGGTGCTTTGGAGGATAATGCGTCAACCCAAGCAAGCATTTTGCATGGAACCTGATTTTATACCGCAGTATGTGACAGAAATGGCAACCCAGACTATGACCCAGACAAAATGCCACACCATGGATGAATGTGGGCCTTTCAGCATTATTGAGGACTAAAAAATTGATTGATTGGTTATTTCTTAACTTGATTGATTGGTTGTGTCTTAACTAAGCACTCAGCACTATACCAGCTATACGGCGTTGGTTAGTAAATAATCGAATCTGGACAAGACAATCCGGTGATCAACAGCATGAGCTTCAATCTATGCAATTGGGATACGATCTGCTTCATGGAACTTATGTTAACCATAAAGATGTTGATTCGATTTATGAGGTGAAAAAACAGGTTTCTTGTTGTTTTCCGCCTCGCTCAGCAATATTCCAGCTATATAAATGTGTGACTTCAGGCTTAAAACAACCTCCACTCACTAATATATACGCAACAAAGGCCATTTTAAATACAACCAAATATATTTATTGCTGTTTTAACCATTAACAAATATGCACGTACATATACATCTCAATGAATATATAAAGTGTACATCATAATGTTACCTTGATAATCAAATCTAATGTGACAAAATACCCCATTCATGACTCAAACGTCAGTTAAGATATGAATAGTGTACCCTTGATGCATGCGTCATTGCCCATCATTACATTCCGTCATGTCTGCGGCGTAAAACAACACCCATACTGTAGTGAAGGGTGACTGATATTTGGAAGCGTCCTGATTGAACAAGGAAAATGTTATTTTAAACTACGTTTATAACGAACACGCTTATAACGAACGGTTGGATATAACGAAGTACACAAAGCGAAAAGCCGAAACAGAAAACAATGTAATACAGTAATCTAGGGTAATAACACACTGATGTCTCCTGTTCAGGCTTTACACTTAGTACTGACCTGCGTGGTACACAGTTTTCGTTCACTGATATACGGGGACCCTCTTTTAAAGCTTGTGTCGGTTTTGCAAGCACATCGCCTCGCTTTATCTCTTATTTCATGGTTGTGTCTCTCAAGCTCTATTTAGCTAAACCGTTATCAAGCACATATGTATATTGTATTATGCACGCATTCGATCTAAATCAAAACCATTTCACTAACAGATAACGATCGACAGACTGATTGTCAGGGCCGGGTTTGCTCTCCAATTTATACTCGACGTAAGAGTCCCTGGATGGATCGGGTAGTCACATTCTGTGAATTAGTTAATTGCGTGTCAGCTTACCCTGGAATCATGCATCCTTGCTCATAATATTAATAACCGGTTTGTGTTAGGTAGACCGTTATTATTCTTGAGGGTAGGTTCCTGATATCACAACAACAAAATATGACGTAAGTGAGAAACTTTTCAAACGAAGCATATGCCATAAGTCTCAAGACATTGCTTGTTTGTCGATTTAAGTGAAGCGTCATTTCTCCTTTTTAAACTTTTTACACTCTGCCTTCAGTCGTGATCAAGAGCCTTCACGCCCGCAATTGCTGCGAAGCCCACCAATGCAACAAAGACATTCATCACGCCTTTACCATGGCCGAATGCGTCTCTTAGTATTTCAAAACACGTGACGTAGAGGAACGTCCCACACGCAATACCCTGGAGAACCCCCGACGCCATTGACTGTGCGTCAAGGTCAAGGTTGGAAGACGTCACAGCTATGCCTGTGCATATTCCGATCGCCGACATCAAAGAAAAGAAGCAGAGACACGCGAAGGGTTTCTTAAAGTACGGCACAAAGGCTCTGAAAAGCTGAAGACCAAGACAAAAGGCAACTAGACTTTTGTGAATCGAGATGGCAATCAAGACCTCCCATACTTCTGTGGCTTCCCCCTGCAACCCCACTGCTAAACCGTCAAATATTGTATGGAAGGACAGCGCGATCAGCACCAAGAACGCACTGAGTCCAGACGCGGCAGAGAGTGCCTCCAGGTCGTGAGCGTGGGTTATAGACCCTTCCTGTTCATTGACACAGGACGCCGAGGACATGCTGCCACCTATTTTGTCCATTTCGTTGTACGGTTCACGTTTTGCCCGGCTCAACGGAAGTGACGTCACAACCACTCCCGTCATAAACAGCATGGCTAACTGTTCCACTCCGGCGATGAGGAAAAATCCGGCACCAGTGAGCGTCTCGAACATCGGGAAGCCGGTGAAGTTGTAGGCGTTAGTAAGTCCCTGTTCCAAATCCTCCTTGCCCTCCACCATCAAATGAAGCAGACACGTGCCAAGAAACACGCCCCCCTGCGAAGCAATTCATCAGACTCAGTACCTTTTCCCTTCGAGCAGTTGCGTTGGCACCCCATTTCTTTTTAATGATGAAGTACGGAATTATGCCCAGCAGCAGCGTAATAAAGAGAAGAATGAAGATGGCGATGACTTTGGCAATTGTGACGTCCATTGTCGTTGACCGTTACGATCTGCAAGTAAAACAATCGTTTTAATGAAAAAAGTGCAACATGTCAAAATGTGGCTCTTGCTATCAAAATATGGCTAGTCCAGGTTAGTGAGTTAGTATAATTTTGCGCCGCTTTTAGCAACCAGAAATGGGCTTCACACATTGTGCTCATGTGAGGAATCGAACCCGTGCCTTCGGCGTGACGAGCGAACGCCTTAACCACTGGGCTACCCTACCTTCCCTCCTCCGCCGTAATAATGTTGAGTTATTACTAAAGGCGGCGTAAAAATTAACTCTCTCACTCTGGCACAATTCCGTCCGGTCCAGCCGATTTTCATGACGGTTTTCATCGCCATGGTTACGAATATCATTTATGTCATCGTCTTTGCAAAAACCACATGATTACTGGCATTCCTTTATCAACAGCAACATTAGTCAAATTTAGAATGTTTTCAAGCTGATGATAATCATTTGATTCATTTGTGCTTCTGTCTGTGTTGCAAACTGACAACTTTTTTACTAGTTTCCAAATCAGTTTAGAGTCTGTACTTTAATTTGTTATAGAATTCTGATTTCATATTCATTATTCTTGTCACGATATAATCGTCTGTACGATATATGATGGGTATAGAAGGTTGATCGCTGTCTGTCGATTATTCACTGTATTTGGAATATTGTTGACGAACGCAAAATGACACGTCTAAGTGAAGCCAACCGTCATATCGCCATTGGTTTGCTTGAAGCTGGCCAGTCTCAACGTGCAGTTGCCCGACGCATGAATGTTCACCAAAGCACCATTTCATGGCTCTGGGAGAGATATCGCGTCAGAATGCGGTAACAGATGCCCCTCCTTGTGGGCGACCTCGAGCGACCACTGCGGCGCAGGATCGCTACATCCGGGTACATCACCTGCGTCATCGAACAGCTATGGTGACCAGTACCGCTCGACAAATACCCGGATTGAGGAGGCTTTCTGCACAGACCGTCAGGAACAGGTTGAGAGAGGCTGGTTTACATGCCAGAAGACCTTATTATGGCCCTGTGCTTCGACAACATCGCCGACATCGAGTTCAATGGTGCACCAACGTTCAGGCCTGGAACCTACCGAATTGGCGTAGAATCTGGTTCAGTGATGAATCACGATTTCTATTGGAACGACGCGATGGAAGAATGCAGGTGTACAGACGTCGACGTGAACGTTTCGCCGACGCTTGCGTTCCCCAGGTGGACAGGTTCGGCCGGGGAAGTGTTATGATGTGGGGGGTGATCACCTGCCGTAGGAGAAGTGATTTGGTGATGATCCAGGGCAACCTGACAGCTCAACGGTACTGTGACGACATACTACGCCAACACCTTCCAATCACTGATCGCCAGAGGGAGTTGTTTCAACAGGACAATGCCAGGCCCCACACAGCACGTCACACTAGAGACTTCCTCCAGAACCACAACATCAATGTGATCCCCTAGCCCTCAAGATCACCGGACTTAAACCCGATCGAACATCTGTGGGATGCCCTGGACAGACGGGTGCGACGCCGTAACCCTCAGCCCCAGACACTTCAGCAACTCGCACAGGCACTACAGGCAGAGTGGGCTGCGATTGGGCAACACCAGATTCTGAGACTTATTCGTTCAATGCCTAGGCGATGCCGTGCAGTTCTGGATGCCCACGGTGGTCACACGAGGTATTGACTTCAGCGCCACCACACGTCTCCATGTGACACTCAAACTGACTTTCCTCGAGTTGGTGCCAAAGAGGGATAAGTCTGCATTCCCAGTGTGCAATTTCGCTATATTTCATTGACTCATAAAGCCTACAAGATGTTTCAAAATAAACATAAAAATACAGTTGAAATTCCTATATGCGTTTCTTTTTTGGGAGAGTATATTTGGTCACCAGTGGTTCGAAATCTATTTAAAGCATAGATTTCCACATATAAAACAAGTACATCCATTGTCATACTACTCTGTATCACGTCGTGATCGAGATGTATAATTCTTATACCACTTTTGGTAGCTGAAGATGTCAAAATTGATTAATATTTATTTACAGTTGAAGTTATGTCGCACACAACGTCAGTGATGAATTCAATAAGCGAATAACGAATATAAATGATTTTAATACTCCACTGTATATCTCTGTTGATTCATGATTCTATGTGTAGATCTGATTTTCGGCAAGTTCGAATATTTGAATCATAGACATTAAACAGTGATTATATTAATGATTTGTTTTAAGCAAGACTGTTTCGGAAACCGAGTAAGATCAGAGCAGGGAGACTATATAACGTTGTAGATTATCCCTGATCAGAGAAATGAGACAATGACGTGAAATTTGATCGTTCTGTTGAAGTACACCTCGCCACCTGTTCTGCGTTTCACGTTTCCCAAGAATAGGCGTAATGCTTCACGTTACATAGCCATGTAGGCGTCTCGTACAGTTGACACCAGTTTCAAGACAAAATTAAGTTTGAGCTGTGAAACGACATACCTGATGACTCCTGCCTTCCGCTTGACCGTATGACAATGAATGCAAACTATGTGCCTTATAAACAACAATGTATCTCACATGACTCGACATGTGAATCAAGATGGCGGGGGTATTTTATCGCAATGTGAAACGTGGTGTCGAAGATGTGCTATCAGTTCGTGACTAACTCGTGTTATTCAAGGACAGGCTGAAGAGGTATTTTAGGAGATTACGAACGAATGATTGAGTTACAATCTGTATATGCATGAGTCAGTCAGTCCCACAGGTTAGGTAGACCACGATCACATGACTCTTCCCTAATTTTTCCCTGATAAGCATAGATTTATCCCTGACCATTTCAGTGTAAAAACTGGCCTCTTCCCTCACCTTCAAATAATTACATTTTTGTTAATTTATTACATTAACCAAAACATGAAATTACAATGTCACATAACACTAGTAGATACATTTGAGTGTAACCATCAAATATATATTCTAAGGCAATGTCAACAAGAAGACATGGTCATCGGGGGGCGCGGTGGGCGAGCTGTCTAAAGCGCCAGGCCAGTGATCTAGCAACCTTGAGGTGACGGTATCGAGCCCACATTTGACCGGGTGTAATATCCTTGGAGTCAACTTTGTGTGCAGAATCTTTAGGTGTTGTCACAGCCCCTAGTGTACAGTACACAACCCTGTGCACTTAAAAGAACCCACGAATCCGTTTGGTATATAAGACCAGATGGTGGCCACATGAAAACGTGCAAACACCTAGTTGTGGGTACAGCAACGTGCAGTAAACTTGGATTAGAAGTACTGTGACTATGTGCCCCAGTCCACTGAATGGGTGTCTCGTAAGGATGGGAATTAAAGCCACAATAACTCGGTGCGCCTAGTGGCTGCAAGAGTTGTATGATCCCCAGGGAGTTGAGATTGATAATACGACGTGCCGTTGAAATTGACATCCAGTGATCGAGGGAAAAACAAAGCGCCTATGAGCAGCTGAGCTGGATATCGGCGCTATACAAATATCTGAAAACTTTGTATTTTATACTAAAGGCTTTTGACAAAGAGTATAAATGTGAAAGCAATGATTTGATTGAATTGTTTCATTCAAAGTCAGGAACACAGAAACCGTTTACAGAAATCTACAATCTCAATGTGTGCTTGCAGTCTAACCCGTTCACCTCCGTGCCTGCAGTCTAATACGTTCACCTCCAAGCCTGCAGTCTCAAATGTTCACATGCATGTCTGCAGACCCATTGTGTTCTTGTAGTCTCAATTATTCACCCGTGTGTCTTCAGTCTCTTTACGTGTTTGCAGTCTCAAATGTTCACCTGCGTCTCTGCATTCCCAATGCGTGCTTGCAGTCTCAATTGTTCACCTGCATAGCTGCAGTCTCAATGCGTGCTTGCAGTCTCAAGTATTCACCTGCATAGCTGCAGTCTCAATGCGTGCTTGCAGTCTCAATTATTCACCTGAATAGCTGCAGTCTCAATGCGTGCTTGCAGTCTCAATTATTCACCTGCATAGCTGCAGTTTCAATGCGTCCTTGCAGTCTCAATTATTCACCTGCATACCCGCAGTCTCAATGCGTGTTTGCAGTCTCAAATGTTCACCTGCGTCTCTGCAGTCTCAATGCGTGCTTGCAGTCTCAATTATTCACCTGCACAGCTGCAGTCTCAATGCGTGCTTGCAGTCTCAATTATTTACCTGAATAGCTGCAGTCTCAATTGTTCACCTGCATAGCTGCAGTCTCAATGCGTGCTTGCAGTCTCAATTATTCACCTGCATAGCTGCAGTCTCAATGCGTGCTTGCAGTCTCAATTATTCACCTGCATAGCTGCAGTCTCAATGCGTCCTTGCAGTCTCAATTATTCACCTGCATAGCTGCAGTCTCAATGCGTGCTTGCAGTCTCAATTATTCACCTGCATAGCTGCAGTTTCAATGCGTCCTTGCAGTCTCAATTATTCACCTGCATACCTGCAGTTTCAATGCGTGCTTGCAGTCTCAATTATTCACCTGCATATCTGCAATATCAATGGGTGCTTGCAGTCTCAATTATTCACCTGCATAGCTGCAGTCTCAATGCGTCCTTGCAGTCTCAATTGTTCACCTGAATAGCTGCAGTCTCAATGCGTGCTTGCAGTCTCAATTATTCACCTGCATACCTGCAGTTTCAATGCGTGCTTGCAGTCTCAATTATTCATCTGCATATCTGCAATATCAATGGGTGCTTGCAGTCTCAATTATCCACCTGCACAGCTGCAGTCTCAATGCGTGCTTGTAGTTTCAGTTGTTCACCTGAATAGCTGCAGTCTCAATTGTTCACCTGCATTGCTGCAGTCTCAATTGTTCACCTGCATAGCTGCAGTCTCAATGCGTCTTTGAAGTCTCAATTATTCACCTGCATAGCTGCAGTATCAATGCGTCCTTGCAGTCTCAATTGTTCACCTGCATAGCTGCAGTCTCAATTATCCACCTGCACAGCTGCAGTCTCAATGCGTCCTTGCAGTCTCAATTATTCACCTGCATAGCTGCAGTCTCAATGCGTGCTTGCAGTCTCAATTATTCACCTGCATACCTGCAGTCTCAATGCGTCCTTGCAGTCTCAAGTATTCACCTGCACAGCTGCAGTCTCAATGCGTGCTTGCAGTCTCAATTATTCACCTGCATAGCTGCAGTCTCAATTGTTCACCTGCATAGCTGCAGTATCAATGCGTCCTTGCAGTCTCAATTGTTCACCTGCATAGCCGCAGTCTCAATTATCCACCTGCACACCTGCATAGTGTCAATGCGTCCTTGCAGTCTCAATTATTCACCTGCACAGCTGCACTTTCAATGCGTCCTTGCAGTCTCAATTATTCACCTGCATACCCGCAGTCTCAATGCGTGCTTACAGTCTCAATTATTCACCTGTATAGCTGCAGTATCAATGTGTGCTTGCAGTCTCAATTATCCACCTGCACAGCTGCAGTCTCAATGCGTCCTTGCAGTCTCAATTATTCACCTGAATAGCTGCAGTATCAATGCGTGCTTGCAGTCTCAATTATTCACCTGCACAGCTGCAGTCTCAATGCGTGCTTGCAGTCTCAATTATTCACCTGCATAGCTGCAGTCTCAATGCGTGCTTGCAGTCTCAATTATTCACCTGCATAGCTGCAGTCTCAATGCGTGCTTGCAGTCTCAATTATTCACCTGCATAGCTGCAGTCTCAATGCGTCCTTGCAGTCTCAATTATTCACCTGCATAGCTGCAGTCTCAATTATCCGTGCAGCTGCAGTCTCAATGCGTATTGCAGTCTCCTGTTCACCTGCATAGCTGCAGTCTCAATGCGTGCATGCAGTCTCAATTATTCACCTGCATAGCCTGCAGTCTCAATGCGTCCTTGCAGTCTCAAGTATTCACCTGCATAGCTGCAGTCTCAATGCGTGCTTGCAGTCTCAATTATTCACCTGAATAGCTGCAGTCTCAATGCGTGCTTGCAGTCTCAATTATTCACCTGCATAGCTGCAGTCTCAATGGGTGCTTGCAGTCTCAATTATTCACCTGAATAGCTGCAGTCTCAATGCGTGCTTGCAGTCTCAATTATTCACCTGCATAGCTGCAGTCTCAATGCGTGCTTGCAGTCTCAATTATTCACCTGCATAGCTGCAGTCTCAATGCGTGCTTGCAGTCTCAATTATTCACCTGAATAGCTGCAGTCTCAATGCGTGTTTGCAGTCTCAATTATTCACCTGCATAGCTGCAGTATCAATGTGTGCTTGCAGTCTCAATTATTCACCTGCATATCTGCAATATCAATGGGTTTCTATGCGTCCTTGCAGTCTCAATTATTCACCTGCATAGCTGCAGTCTCAATGCGTGCTTGCAGTCTCAATTATTCACCTGCATAGCTGCAGTCTCAATGCGTGCTTGCAGTCTCAATTATTCACCTGCACAGCTGCAGTCTCAATGCGTGTTTGCAGTCTCAATTATTCACCTGCACAGCTGCAGTCTCAATGCGTGCTTGTAGTCTCAGTTGTTCACCTGAATAGCTGCAGTCTCAATGCTGCAGTCACCTCACCTATCCACCTGCATAGCTGCAGTCTCAATGCGTGTTTGCAGTCTCAATTATTCACCTGCATAGCTGCAGTCTCAATGCGTGCTTGCAGTCTCAGTTGTTCACCTGAATAGCTGCAGTCTCAATGCGTGCTTGTAGTCTCAATTATTCACCTGCATAGCTGCAGTCTCAATGCGTGCTTGCAGTCTCAATTATTCACCTGCATAGCTGCAGTCTCAATGCGTGTTTGCAGTCTCAATTATTCACCTGCATAGCTGCAGTCTCAATGGGTGCTTGCAGTCTCAATTATTCACCTGAATAGCTGCAGTCTCAATGCGTGCTTGCAGTCTCAATTATTCACCTGCATAGCTGCAGTCTCAATGCGTGCTTGCAGTCTCAATTATTCACCTGCATAGCTGCAGTCTCAATGCGTGCTTGCAGTCTCAATTATTCACCTGAATAGCTGCAGTCTCAATGCGTCCTTGCAGTCTCAATTATTCACCTGCATAGCTGCAGTCTCAATGCGTGCTTGCAGTCTCAATTGTTCACCTGCATAGCTGCAGTCTCAATGCGTGCTTGCAGTCTCAATTATTCACCTGCACAGCTGCAGTCTCAATGGGTGCTTGCAGTCTCAATTATTTACCTGCATAGCTGCAGTCTGAATGGGTGCTTGCTCTCAATTGTTCACCTGCATAGCTGCAGTCTCAATGCGTGCTTGCAGTCTCAATTATTCACCTGCATAGCTGCAGTCTCAATGCGTGCTTGCAGTCTCAATTATTCACCTGCATAGCTGCAGTCTCAATGCGTCCTTGCAGTCTCAATTGTTCACCTGAATAGCTGCAGTCTCAATGCGTGCTTGCAGTCTCAATTATTCACCTGCATAGCTGCAGTCTCAATGCGTCCTTGCAGTCTCAATTAATTATTCACCTGCATAGCTGCATACAGTCTCAATGGGTACTTGCAGTCTCAGTTATTCACCTGCATAGCTGCAGTCTCAATGGGTGCTTGCAGTCTCAGTTATTCACCTGCATAGCTGCAGTCTCAATGCGTGCTTGCAGTCTCAATTATTCACCTGCAGTCTCATTACATGTGCTTCTCTCCAGTCTCATTTCAAGTTTGTGGGTTTTTCTTTAATTTGTTTAATTTTTTGTTGAGAGTGGAGAGGTGGTGGTGGAGGTGGTGGGGGTGAGGAGGGTGTGTTTGTTTTTTACTGGAACGCATGACGGTGTAAATGTTTTGAATTGAATTGATACTGTTTGAAGCTCGGAAAGTGAGGCCTTTTTGAACAAATGACTGTTTCACCTGTAATATGAGATTATAAACTTGTCCATGTTGAACGAAACAATTGATACATGCACAATGTTAAAACACTTGTGAAATGGAACTAAAACATACCGCACAGTGAATGTATGGATGTATTAAAATAATGTTGAATATATGGCCTAACAACAAAAAATGAAAGCACGTGAAAAAGTATAAAGGACGACTTAACTATTAGATCAACTATGATCATAAAAGCGGCATCTCATGCAAAGTGCAGAAACGCATTTCTTCTTTTTATTTCTGTTTATTTTTTGGACAGAGTCTAGTTCCAGCATCAGTTAGATGGTGCAGCACATTGAGTAGCGTGCGAGTAATTGAGGAAATACTGCACTATAAAAAGCAGAGATGCTCGGATGACGTCCTTTCTAGAATAAGATACTTGGCGTTAACAGTGGTAACAACATAAAGAAATGCTGCTAGGTTATACATATGACACTGGCTATCACTAATGAATGGGCTCGTCTTCTACTAAATTCCATCTGGTTTACGACAATGAATGGGGAACGGTTTGCGACAGAAGGGGAAGCAACTCTAGTAAGTTCCCGAAGTTTTCATTGTTGCTGTACAAACGATGAATCTATGGATTTATTTCCTTATTTGTCTATCGAGGGGTGATAAAACTTCATGAAATGTCGCCCTAGAAAGTTGTAAGGCATAATGCCTTAATGTAGAGGTAGCATAGCTTACTACTAAAGCTGAAACGCTCGCTCTGGTTATTGTTATCCCCGAAGCGTGTTTCCTGAGCTACTTACGACTTAGTTTATTTTGACGGATTTTCCGTTAAATATTTGATACACAAGTTGAAATATCAGACTCTCCTGGTATCAAGTCCAGGATATGATTCTTCAAGTATGGTATTCACATAGATGATACCTGGGACGGAATGTTCAGTGGCTAGGAGGATATTACGTCAACGCCAGCATGGATTTTGCATGCTGATCTTAGGACCCTGATTTTATACCGCAGCATGTGATAGAAATGGCAAACCCAGACTATGGCTTCTACCTTAACAACAACAATAACAACAACAACAGTTATTTACCAAGTCCACGACCTCCATCGCCGTTTTTTCCATTGACGCAAACTACACATATGCCCTCTTCCATTTATCAAAACAGTCAGATTGGACAGAATGTCACGTCCAATTTTACATTCACGTCTCCAACTCAGACCAATGTTGTATCCTACGCCTCACCGATGTATACTGCCTCAGTGTCCACGACACACAGTCCGTACCATGGACCTCGTACAGCCCCGGGGACAGGTGCAAGGTGGCAGCACACTGTACCCCAGCAGATGCCATGGATGACTACAGTACCCCAGGGGAACTCTCCAGTCATAGTATTCACAGCCCAGTCATCCCAGTCAACAGCATTTAACCAGTCATCTTTGTAAGTATCCATTTTTCAGTCCTCAATAAGGCTGAAAGGCCCACCCACATTCATCCATGCCTCTCTATCCTCATTCTATTCATGACTTGCTTGTTAACAGTGTTAGAACCTACACCTATCACTCTCACTGTAGTAAAGAAGTTGTTCATCCATAAAGTGTTATCCTTCCTAAATGCTCCATTTTTTTCTAAATGCCTCTCAAAGTCAAAGAAATTTACCCAGAAGTGCAAAACATGTTTCTTGTAAAATATTTTTAGATCTATCACTATAATTAAACTTGGCTGATAAAAGTTTGTGTTATGGCATAAATGAGAGTTCGAAGTCTGAAATTATGGTACTGTCGATTTGTGATCGTTTTAAAATATCAAAGGTGTGCAAGCGATCAGCAATCACCTTTTTTTGGTGACTGATATATTTCATAATTTACCAAGAAGCTTATTGCACATATGACCGCCTCTGTGGTGTAGTGGTTAGAGCGTCCGCCCGGAGAGTGGATGGTCGTGGGTTCGATCCCCGACCGCGTCATACCAAAAGATGTTAAAATATGGTACTTGCTGGTCCCGCCTGGCGCTCGGCATTAATGGGTACAACAAGGACTGGTCGGCTCGGAGTCAGTATAATGTGTCTGAGTGGAGTATTCATGCTTCACTGCGGCATGGTATCCCAGTGGGCTAGCACTATAAAACCAGCTTAAGTCTGGGCTAGTACAAGCAGCCGCACATACACGTACACACGCATGCACGTCGTCATATGAGCGAAATATTCTCAAGTATGACGTTAAACCCAATTTCACCTCACCTCACCTATTGCACATATAATTTGGTAATGCATGCCTCAATGCCATCGTCATGAAGATGAAATTCTCCATCCTCTGTATCAGTGTTACCATGTCCTGCTCAAACTTCTGGATCATTTCTCGCAATGTCAGATCATCCACTATTAATTTTTATAAGCAAATTATGGGGCATGGTGGGTGGGCGGGCGAGCTGTCTAAGGCACCAGGCTAATGATCCAGCGAGCTTGAGGTGTCACTACGATCGAGGCCACCTGTGACCGGTGTAAAGACCTTGGAGTCAACTTTGTGTGCAGACTCTTTCAGTGTTGTCACAACCCCTAGTGTACAGTACACAACCCTGTGCACTTAAAAGAAACCAGGAATCCATTGGTATATGACCAGATGGTGGCCACCTGTATACGTGCAAACACCTAGTTGTGGGTACAGCAACGTGCAGTAAACTTGGTCAAAGTACTTTGACTATGTTTCCGAGTCCACCCAGCTGTGAATGGGTACCTCATAAGGATGAGAAAGCCGCAATAACTCGGTGCGCTTAGTGGCTGCAAGAGTTGTATGCTCCACGGGGAGTTGAGATTGATAATACGTCATTACGATGTGCCGTTGAGATTGACATCCAATGATCGAGGAAAAATAAATATCAGCACCTTGAGCATGTACTAGTTGCATGGATATGTGCGCTATTTAAATATCCCATAATAACTTTTCTATGCCTCTTCATCTAGCTACCAATCAGAATTCAAGTTGCAAACAAGTTACAATGTTAGTTGGTTGGTTATATCACCAACATGGCGATATGAGTTGTCTCCATTTTTGATTGGTCGGTGTTATGTTTTTGATAACCAAGGGCAGATAATTTGAGATCACAAGAACCATGGGATTCTGGGAATGGATCCAGGTGTTGTAGGTTTGCTGAATTGTGAGCCATGGGAAGAAATTATCATCCTCATCATCTTCAACCCGTGAAGTTCCAGTTCGAAATTGGTCTTCAGCAACCCATGCTTGTCATTGGAGGCAGCTAACGGGATCGGGTGGACTTCTGACTTGGCTGAGACATGTCATTGTATCCCAATTGCATCCGTCGATGCTCATGCTGTTGATCACTGGATTGTTTGGTCCAGACTTGATACAGCCCGAGCTATATAGCTGGAATATTGGTGTGTGAGGCGTTAAACAACAAACCAACCAATCATCATTCTCATCATGACAAGATTACCTTGTGTTACAGGACTTCCAAGTTTGAGCCTAAAGCATCCTGCAGTTTCACCCAGAGAAGGCCTAAGAGGCATTGTGAACTACATTATGATTCGTAAGTCTTTCCATCTTTCCACAGGGTTACACTGTTTTCAAAATATTGTGTCTTGTATGCAAGCAAATTGAGAATGGACACAAATAATAATATGAGTCCAGAGTTACTTCTGAATCATTAGCATGCCATTTATACTGTATCTGAGTGAAATATCCATGGTAATCTGTGTTAGGTGCAGCAGGGGTGGAAATAACCCATTGCCCGAAGTCAGCGTCCAGTGTTTTTTTCTTTCGGGCAAGCAAATTTGTATATCACACTGTACCGATGTCCAGTTGACTTTCCAATGTTAATTATGTTGTTTATTTAAAAAATCAACAAGAAAATGGCTGGTATAGTGGAAAAATTATCAGGGCAAGTGATTTTACATGTGCCACTGTACCGGAGTACACTAGCAATTTTAAAGTTACTTCCACCCATGAGTGCTATTTTACTGCACCAAGAACCTGATAAGATCTGGGTTAGATATGATCTCCAGCAACCCATCCTGGTTAGGCAAACAGGGGCGTAGCTACCATTATTTAAAAAAAGCTCGGGCTTACAGTTACACATGATTTTGAAAATGAAAGTTGGGAAAGTCCTCAATACTATCTAAATGTAAAGATTTGCAACCTATCAGGCTTACATGAAAAAAATGGTTTACTACGCGCCAGGCAAATAACAGAATTTGTGGGTCACTCTCGTTGTCTTGGTTGATACATGTCATTGTATTCCAGTTGTGTAGATCGATCTTGTGATGTCAGTCACTGGATTGTGTGGCCCAGATTCATATAGCTGGACAATTGCTGAGTGCAGCGCTAAGCAAAAATCAAACTTCACTTTAAAGTGGTAGTGAAGCAAACACCTGTTTAGTTTAGCTTCTGTAGCAGACTGGGCGGTGGGGTAGCCTAGTGGTTAAAGCGTTCTCTCGTTACGCTGAAGGCCTGGGTTCGATTCTCCACATGGGTACAATGTGTGAAGCCCATTTCTGGTGTCCCCCGTCGTGATATTGCTGGAATATTGCTAAAAGCTGTGTAAAACTAAACTCACTCACTCTGTAGCAGACATGTTGATTCTTGTTTCAGTTCATTGTGTCCGAGCACGAAGGTCCGCATCACGGACGAGAAGATGGCTGCTCGGATGCAGGGCTTGAACTTGACTGGGACCTCTGACTCCACAGACAACAAGCAGTACTCCAACTGGGAAAAGCTGAAGGAAATAGAGGACAGGTAATGGATAAAGACGAGAAACGTTAATGGAGAACAATGCTGTGTTTGTAAACTGGCTTCACTCTTTCTTCTGGCCCCTTAAGTCACTTGGCCCTTCAGGTACTGTCTGGGTTATGGCCCGGGAAAGTGAAATCTGGACCAAACCACCTCAATTTATGTGTCGCTCTTCGCGGGAATGGTCAAGCTACAGTGAACACTGAATTTAGCGTTCCCGGAACTCTCAATACACAAGAAAAAAAAAGAAATATGAGTCGTTGTCTGATACGGTAGTCATGGTAGAAATTTGATAAATATTTTGATGTACATTGATAGCAAATTGAAACCAAACTGAAATTATTCACTTTTAATATATACAGTGATAGGAATTCGTCCAGTCTCTCCATAGAGCATGTAGGATGGTGTACACTTGCGTAGTTTCAGGACAGATTTCATGAATAACCTGTGAACAGTTTCTAAGATGTCTATTTTTGAATTTATAATGCAATTTATGATACAGATCAACTTCCCTCAGGTAGTTCACAATGAGATGCCCGCTCACGCGGGAAAACAGGTATCAGTTGTACACGAGTATAACAAACAGTACATACAAAATGTACAACAAGATGACAAAATGATACATCAATTATAGTGTTTACAAACAATCTGAATGAACTTGGATACATTTTAAGAGTAGATATTTTACATAAAAAAAGTTGACGGAACTTTGTCAAATTCGGCCATGAAGAAAAAGGTTAAAAATTCTTTTAACAATGATCATAATAAAACTATAGTTAATACCTAATGTTGTGTTTTTTAATCGAAGCACATTCTGGATTTAAATTGTAAAAAGTATTTGGATGATTTTCCCCCTTGTTCAATTCATTTGGCTTTTGATCTTATAAAGGAGCCTTCAGTCTTTATTTTATTAAAAAAATTCTAATTCGGATTTAGCTTCCTTAAATTTTTCCATTGGTATATCTTACTGAGCTGGCGGAAAAAAGTCTTGAAGTCTCTAGAGAGATAGATTCTTCTTTGTAGAACATAACTCTCTAACACTGCCATATTGCTGGAATATTGCTGAGTGCGGCGTAAAACTAAACTCACTCACTCTGGGTCTAACAGCATTGTCGATTACGGTGGTTGGGTCACTATGACCTGCACTTGCATCTTGTTTTCCTTTCACAAGTGGGGTCACGTATAAACGTGCTGAAACTTGAAACAATTGAAACTTCATCTCAGTTAAGAGGCTCACAGATCGAGTATTGGGGTCGCACGCTAATATGATGTACGGTAATCCGATGTTTTCATAGCAATTCGCTTCCGCGGCACTTCTAGCACAACTTTGGTTTTCGCTTTACCGGGAATAGGGAATATTGAAATTTCGCTTTCCTAGGCCGACACCAAAGAGTTAGCCTGAATGTAGTTATCAGTAATATCACTCACAACATACAATTCTATAATCTGAGCTCAGTCATACTAGTCATAGATAATGATTGATTGTTATCACAATCCACACCCCAAAACTCATGTGGGCAATAACCAGGACACTATGATAACATTGTACAAATAAAACAGGCACTGATCATACCACGCGACTGATGGAATAAGAAACATACTTTCTAAAGTTTAATTTGATGTTTCAAACGTTCATTTTTTATGAATATCGATGATTCTTCTTGCAAGCTTATTGATAATGACTGACACAAGCAGGACATTTGCAGCAGTAACTATGCTTTTGTCTCTCAAGATATACTGTATTTGGCCCTTTTGTTAAGATACGTAGGTGTTCTGTATTTGATCCCTTTCTAAGACTTTCTGGGGTGGTGGGGTAGCCTAGTGGTTAAAGAGTTTGCTCGTCACATCGAAGACCGGGTTCGATTCCCCTCATGGGTACAATGTGTGAAGCCCATTTCTGGTGCCCCCTCTGATGATGTTGCTGGAATATGTAAAACCAAACTCAGTCAGTCAGTTGTAAGACTTTCTGGGGTGGTGGGGTAGTCTAGTGGTTAAAGAGTTTGCTCGTCACATCGAAGACCCGGGTTCGATTCCCCTCATGGGTACAATGTGTGAAGCCCATTTCTGGTGTCCCCCCGCATTGATATTGCTGGAAATTAGTGGAATATTGCTAAAAGTGGTGTAAAACCATAATCACTCACTTCTAAGACTTTCTAACCAAGTAATATTGAACATGGCTCCACATTGGAAATGTCCTTAAAGTCTGTTATGGCACCATTTCTACTTTATGATATTTGATGGTTGTCTTTAGTGTTGGGAATTGGTTAAAATCTCATAATTGATGATTGGTTCATTACAACCGATCAATCAGCGAAAATAATTGGTTAGCGTCATTTATGAAATTTGTTAATGCACATGAAAATAAGGAAAAAAACATGTAGTTCTTTGGGGCCTTTTTGGCAGAATTTCACATCTTCAAAGGATGACTAGTATGTTAGGAACATAAATTTCTTGGAGCCTTTAAGATAAATTCAATCATGACTTTAAAAGAACTTGTAGTGCTTATAAAATGTAACAGACAAATCCCACCATGTGAAAAATATTGTTAATGAAAACAAGTGTTCCAAAATTGGTTGTGTTCGATTATGAGAAATTATGATCGATTGCTTGGTCGTTTAGTCACTACAACCAATCTTCGATTATTTCAATTAATCGGACCACCACTAGTTGTCTTGGAATGTTTGCTTCCCAGGTTAGAGGATGAAGACATGGGTATAGACATCCCTAGCACAACCAAGGACACTGACTCTAGTTTGCCTCGCCTCAGAATCAAAGCAGGGATCAACCCACAAGACCTACTCAAGTCCACCATCTTACCCAAGACAATACTCGAAAACTTGTAAGTACAGTTGGAAAGAAATTGCAGGCATACAAACTGGCAGGTTCGAAATGTCAATACTATATAAACATATCAATCCATCCGTTAAAACTTGTTTAATGGATGCCCTCTGTTTGGGAGGGTTGGTGGCTCTGCTGGGAGAGTTAGTGCCTACTCTTGGTACAGTCTGTGCCCCTGTTTATGGAGTGTTTGTGCCCCTCTTTATGGAGTGTTTGTGCCCCATTTTGGAGGGTTGGTGCCTTTCATTAACTGAGATTGTGGATATGTGACTGAGAGAGCTCATGCAGATATTTTAAGAGAGATGGTGACCCCCGGTTTAAGAGGTGAGGTGTGGTGAAATTGGGTTTAACGTCGTGCTTGAGAATATTTCGCTCATATGACGACGTGCATGCGTGTGTATGTGTATGTGCGGCTGCTTGTACTAGCCCAGACTTAAGCTGGTTTTATAGTGCTAGCCCACTGAGATACCATGCCGCAGTGAAGCATGAATACCCCACTCAGACACATTATACTGACTCCAAACCGACCAGTCCTTGTTGTACCCATTAATGCCGAGCGCCAGACAGGGACCAACAAGTACCATATTTTAACGTCTTTTGGTATGACGCGGTCGGGGATCGAACCCACGACCATCCACTCTCCGGGCGGACGCTCTAACCACTACACCACGGAGGCGGTCCCCCGGTTTAAGAGAGATGTTTGGAAGAGATGTGAAGGTGCAAGAGATGGTTCCCCTTTTAGATGGTGTGTTCCCAGTTTGAGAGAGAGTTTCCTGCTTTGGAGAGTTGTGCCTCGATTGTGAAGTGATGTGCCCTTTTTTGGAAGAGATTGTCATGTTTCAGAGAATTCCTCTGTTTTAGAGAAAGGTACACCCCCAAATCATTTGCATGGTTGACCTGTTTCAGAAATAAACCATGTATGCAGGTAGTGTTGTGGAAGCCACCTGCCATTGTGAAGGACATTGAGGGGATGTTTTCACCAAAGTTGTCCAGTATACAAGACAGCAGCCTAGAGGACTCTGCGGACAGGACAGAGGACATCCTTAGCAACATGGAGGACTTAGTGACCAGTTCAGTGAACCAGGGTCTGCCGAGTCAAATACTACAGCAGCCTGTCAGAAACATCACCATAACAGTGCCTTCACCATCTTTACATAAAGACAGGTGAGTTGTCAGAAACATCACCATAACAGTGCCTTCACCATCATTACATAAAATGATAAAGACAGGTGAGTTGTCAGAAACATCACCATAACAGTGCCTTCACCATCATTACATAAAGACAGGTGAGTTGTCAGAAACATCACCATAACAGTGTCTTCACCATCATTACATAAAGACAGGTAAGTTGTCAGAAACATCACCATAACAGTGCCTTCACCATCATTACATAAAGACAGGTGAGTTGTCAGAAACATCACCATAACAGTGCCTTCACCATCATTACATAAAGACAAAGTTGTTAGAAACATCACCATAACAGTGGTAAGTTGTCAGAAACATCACCATAACAGTGCCTTCACCATCATTACATAAAGACAGGTAAGTTGTCAGAAACATCACCATAACAGTGCCTTCACCATCATTACATAAAGACAGGTGAGTTGTCAGAAACATCACCATAACAGTGCCTTCACCATCATTACATAAAGACAGGTGAGTTGTCAGAAACATCACCATAACAGTGTCTTCGCCATAATTACATAAAGACAGGTAAGTTGTCAGAAACATCACCATAACAGTGTCTTCACCATCTTTACATAAAGACAGGTAAGTTGTCAGAAACATCATCCATAAAGACAGGGTAACAGAAACATCACCATAACAGTGCCTTCACCATCATTACATAAAGACAGGTGAGTTGTCAGAAACATCACCATAACAGTGCCTTCACCATCATTACATAAAGACAGGTGAGTTGTCAGAAACATCACCATAACAGTGCCTTCACCATCATTACATAAAGACAGGTGAGTTGTCAGAAACATCACCATAACAGTGCCTTCACCATCATTACATAAAGACAGGTGAGTTGTCAGAAACATCACCATAACAGTGCTCTTCACCATCATTACATAAAGACAGGCGAGAATTGTCAGAAACATCACCATAACAGTGCCTTCACCATCATTACATAAAGACAGGTGAGAATTGTCAGAAACATCACCATAACAGTGCCTTCACCATCATTACATAAAGACAGGCGAGAATTGTCAGAAACATCACCATAACAGTGCCTTCACCATCATTACATAGAGACAGGTGAGTTGTCAGAAACATCATCATAGACAGTGCCTTCACCATCATTACATAGAAGACAGGTGAGTTGTCAGAAACATCACCATAACAGTGTCTTCACCATCATTACATAAGTCAGACAGTGGTAAAGACAGGTAAGTTGTCAGAAACATCACCATAACAGTGTCTTCACCATCTTTACATAAAGACAGGTAAGTTGTCAGAAACATCACCATAACAGTGCCTTCACCATCTTTACATAAAGACAGGTAAGTTGTCAGAAACATCACCATTCACCATCTTTACATAAAGACAGGTAAGTTGTCAAACAACATTACCATAAGTGCCTTCACTATCTTTACACAGGTAAGTTGTCAGAAACATCACCATAGACAGTGCCTTCACCATCGATAATTACATAAAGACAGGTAAGTTGTCAGAAACATCACCATAACAATGTCTTCACCATCTTTACATAAAGACAGGTGAGTTGTCAGAAACATCACCATAACAGTGCCTTCACCATCATTACATAAAGACAGGTGAGTTGTCAGAAACATCACCATGACGGTGCCTTCACCATCATTACATAAAGACAGGTAAGTTGTCAGAAACATCAACATAACAGTGCCTTCACCATCATTACATAAAGACAGGTGAGTTGTCAGAAACATCACCATAACAGTGCCTTCACCATCATTACATAAAGACAGGTGAGTTGTCAGAAACATCACCATAACATTGCCTTCACCATCTTTACATAAAGATGGGCGAGTATTGTCAGAAACATCACCATAAGTTCACCATCATTACTGGGTGAGAAGTCTGACATCACCATAACAGTGCCTTCACCATCATTACATAGAGACAGGTGAGTATTGTTAGAAACATCACCATAACAGTGTCTTCACCATCATTACATAAAGACAGGCGAGAATTGTCAGAAACATCACCATAACAGTGCCTTCACCATCATTACATAGAGACAGGTGAGTATTGTTAGAAACATCATCATTCTTCACAATTTTTACATAGATACAGTGACTTCACCATTTCCATAAACAGGTGATAAAAACTTCACAATAACAGTTCCTCAAACAACATATCAATACACTTTCATTGTACTGTGTCCTAAGACAAATATATGCATGTTTATGAATATTTGTATGTAACAGGGGCGTGGGGTAGCTAGCTCATCAAGAAGACCCAGGTTCGATTCCCCACACATATCAGAGATATGAAACAAATCTGATTTCATTGAACACCATTCTCTGTCTGTCCAGGTTGTTTTATGTTCATGGGTCTGTAGCATACAAAGTTCACCCTCTATGGGGAGTCTGGACACCATGGATAATGTTCATGGTATCAATCACCGGATTGTCTGGTCTAGACTTGTTTGTTCTCATGTTGTTGCCATATAGCTAGAAAGAAACACACATATCAGAGATATGAAACAAATCTGACATTGAACACCATTCTCTGTCTCCAGGTTTCCTTCGACAGTTCTGACCTCAAGCACGACCGCAACTGACCGCCGCCGCTTTCCCCACACAGCCGTGACACAGCATTGTGAGTTCATGGAGGACGACAACATGGACCTGTGACATCAGACCAGTGTTAGCCCCTTCATCAAAATTTATTTCATGAATAGTTGGATGTACATGATGTACAACGTCATCCTCAGTGTCGAATCAAAATGGTCTAATCTGGCTATGGTTTTATTCCAGTTAATGTATTTTAACAGTTTTTCATAGCACTACGACAGTGTTAGGTCTTCATGAAATCTGAACATAATGATTACCCTAGTGCTGTGGACCCAAGTGGTACGGACCTTTGGATCCCCTCGTCATCAAGTTGACATCCCCCTCGTCATCAAGTTGACATCCCCTGATACAGCTGAAAAACTGTTCAACGCAGCTTTAACCCCTCTCGCTCTGAATCGATGACATGGTGGTGTACAATATACTCAGTGCACACAAATATCTGAGGACGAATTTCATGGCTGAATTATACAGTCAGTCCTCATTTTCACATGTACAGAAACTCGTGACAATTTTACTAGTTCGGAAGAGTAGTTGTGAATGGTACTGTAGAGAAAATATTTCCAATTTTCTTGCCTCTCACATATTCCCTGTAATCCCTTTCTTCTCAGTGTCAGTTTAGTTAGCTCTAAATACTGGAGTGAATGTTCAACATTTTGTTCTCCTGGTTGTACGTGGGTGTTTCGCAGTTGTCGGCTGTAATGTCTGGAAGTCTGTCATGTTGTGAATTGTCTGAATTGTTTGTCTGTCTCCCTATAAATGTCATGTAGATTGTGGGAACTATCAATGCTTTAGTCTAGACTTTGACCTTGACATTCCTGGGAAACCTTGACCTTGTCATTGCTTCGAAACCATGACCTTTTTGATGACCTTGAAGTTGAAATCGACCTTGACTTTTGGTTTTGTGTCATTCATGTTGACCTTGATCTCTGTATTGGTATTTTTACAATAAAGGTGCAAATAATACATTATCACCACATGTGTACACAGTAATTCAAATTCGTTGATTATTATGGAACATAGCTTTATTTCAGAAGGAAGCTCAAGCACCTGACAATGTTTCACTGGTCTTGGCTGTGTGGACAGGGATTTTGTGTGACCTTACACAAGACGTAACTTATCTAATATTTGGGATGTCACTGTGTAAAGGACAGATTGTAGTACTTTTGTTTGGTTGAGTCCAATCCAGGATTTTTTCTCACAACTGTATTTATTTCATGACAACCTTTCTATACATTTTGTGTTTGTAAAACCTTTGTCCAAATTATATTTTCAGCATTTCATGAACCAAATCCGGGTTTCTCCCTCTGGAATGTCAAGTGGTCAGTCCAGTGGTCAGTCCAGGTTCTAGCCAAAGCATTGATAAGTCTTTGTGTGACTTGTACCCTATGTCTTGGGAGTGGTAAATGTTTCTATTTAATTTCAGACATGTAATATTCTGGATAATTGAGACAAACTGGAGGCAGCAATTGACATATACCTTTATCCTGCTGTTACATGGAATTCACCATGAGATTTAGAATCTGTACAAATGATGATTTCTCTTGATGTTTGTGTAGCCATAGCAACAGTGTTCTCCATAGCAACAGTGTTCTGTTGCGGAAAATGATGTTCTCTATTATTTTTCTTTTATATCGAAGAACTTGGTCCTGGATTATGAATGTATGTAGAGTTTAAAATATGTCATTTTCAGGCTGCAGCAACCTATGGTATATTTTGACACTACTGGATGGATAATTGGCTGCTTTTGATTGTTTTCACATATATATTTTTAATCCTACAGAACAGGGTGTATAAAGTTTAAAAGTTTGGAACTTCATAGTTTCTGGAACACTTTCTCAGTGTTTGCAAATAGTGTAGAAATAATCTCAGCTTCAATTCTAGAAAAATTGATTGTCATTGTACTATTCAAATGGTAGTAAAAACACTCCTAGTTTTTGTAACTATTGTTTCTGTTGTTCTGTTGACTCATGATATTCCTTGTGAAGATCCTGGTGAGAATTGGTCTTCTGGAACCAATGCTTGGCGACTAACGGATCGGGTGGTCAGACTCGCTGACTTGCTTGACGCATGTCATCGTATCCCAAATGCGTAGAACGATGCTCATGCTGTTGATCACTGGATTGTCTGGTCCAGACTTCGATTATTTATAGACCGGCACTATATAGCTGGAATATTGCGGAGTGTGGAGTTAAACAACAAACCAACAACCAACATTGCTGGGATCACCATGGAGATTTTCTAATATAGCAGACTTGCATGATGCAGCGGTTATCCATATAGTGCCCATAGGCGAGGTGGGCGAGCTGGCTAAGGCGCCAGGCTAGTGATCCAGCGAGCTTGAGTTGTCGGGATGCAGCCCACCTGTGACCGGGTGTGAAACTTTGTGTGCAGACTCTTTTTGTAGTGTACAGTACACAACCCTGTGCACTTAAAAGAATCCACGAATCCGTTGGTATATGACCAGATGGTGGGTACATGAATACGTGCAAACACCTAGTTGCGGGTACAGCAACGTGCAGTGAACATGGACAAAGCACTGTGACTATGTGTCCCAGTCCACCCAGCTGTAAATGGGTACCTCGTAAGGATGGGAAAGTCACACTAACTCGGTGCGCCTAGTGGCTGCAAGAGTTGTATGATCCCCGGGGAGTTGAGATTGATAATACGATGTGCCGTTGAGATTGACATCCAATGATCGAGGGGAAAATACCAGTGCCTTGAGCATGTACTAGCTGCGTGGATATGTGCGCAATATAAATATCGTATAATAATATTGAATAACAACAAATGTTTTTACCCTGTGTGAGGAGTGAGTGAGTTTTGTTTTACGCCGCACTCAGCAATATTCCCGCTGTATGGCGGCAATCTGTAAATAATTGAGTGTGGACCAAACAATCCAGTGATTAACAGCATGGGCATCGATCTGTGCAATTGGGAACCGATGACATGTGTCAACCAAGTCAGCTAGCCTGACCACCGGATCCCGTTAGTCGCCTCTTACGACAAGCATGGGTTACTGAAGGTTCATTCTAACCCGGATCTTCACAGGTACCCTGTTTGAGGAGAAAGCAGGGACTGACAGGTTGTGAACACTTGTACTGTGTTTGAGTTGGTAGCCATTGTTGAACTGTGGCATTGTATCTCGAGCATGAATTTGGACAATTACAAGCACACGCACACACACACTGCATGTTGCTTTGTGTCTCAAATGAAAACAACCCCAAACCTTTCATTAAAAAAACATCCCAGTGTGATACGGGTGCGGTTTTATTACAAAGGTGCAATTATTTCGCTATCATGTTCACCTTATTATCAAGGTTTCACACGCATTACGGGATTGACAGTTTAAACCCATATGTCTGAACCGTAGGCCCCCACTGCGGGTCAGAAAATCGATAAACTAGGCCCCGGTTTAATATCCACAACCCCTACTATTGACAGTTTAAATCCATATGTCTGAACCATAGGCCCCCACTGCGGGTCAGAAAATCGATAAACTAGGCCCCGGTTTAATATCCACAACCCCTACTATTGACAGTTTAAACCCATATGTCTGAACCATATAGGCCCCCACTGCGGGTCAGAAAATCGATGAACTAGGCCCCGGTGTGGATACTAAACCGGGGCCTAGTTTATCGATTTCCTGACCCGCAGTGGGGGCCTATGGTCTGAACAGCATCACGTATCACGCCAGCTTCTCACATCGCACCAGCTTCACATATCAGGTCACGTGTCTAATCTGTTTCACGTATCGCAACTGCGCACACAATGGACCAGTGATTCACGTTGCATCCACATGATGGCATATAATGACACAGGATAGGGTCATTCACATATCGGTTGTGTCGCACTGGATATGTCGAATTCCCGGTTGTTGCGAACTTCTTTGGGAGTCCCAAGTGTCAAAATTAAGCCAAAATTCCCCTGATGACCGGTACAGACAGAGCACGCTCGTCACGACCAAGGCCCGGGTTCGATTGCCCACATGGGTACAATGTGTGAAGCCCATTTCTGGTGTCCCCCGCCGTGATATTGCTAAAAGCGGCGTTAAACCACACTCACTCACTGAGAGCATGGGTTCGACTCCTGGATGGGATTCAAATCCCCCAAAACATCTAGAATCTGTATTTTCCTGTGAAGGTGTAATTCCAAATATAACATATGTTACAATGGTTACAACAAGGTTAGCTGACATGAAAATAGTAGTTTTGCTTTACACGTTCTTAATGTGTTTGATATTAACATCGTGTGTTTTATCTAAATATTTTTATAAAAAATGTCCTATCTATGTTATCTGTTGCATGTTAGCGACACACCTTCCTCAAGTGCCATCATCATATCATTCAAGTTGTCAAGTTGAGGTCAAGGACGTCGAGGTCAAGGACGTTCCTATATGGGACGTCTGCAGTTCAGAAGGTTTATCAGCAGACAAAAAAGGATGAGGCTGTTGTGTATTCGTACGCACAGAGTGTTTTTGACAAGACTAACATAAGAGGTTTTAATCAGACAATTGCACCACCATTTCAACCAGTCATAAACAAACAATCTTTCAGTTCCACAGTAGAATAATCAACGTGCTATTTGTCGCCAGCAAGAGAAAGAAGTGAGGCTTAAAGATGTCCTATTTCTGTTTCCGCCCTAAATTTTCATTCCGACGTAAAATGATGACATGATTTCTTTACTTAATTTTTCCGCAGAGGCGGAAATACACGCTTCCAATAAGATAAGTTTCCGACCCTTTGTTCAATCCATGCAGAACCAAGTCCTAATTAATAAAGTGTGAGTTTTAACAGAGTAGCCCAATTATTTTTGTTTTCTAGATTTACCAGCATTTTTGGTCAGGGTTATATAGCATTTTAAAAAAATAATAAAAAATATGTGTTTAATGGGTAGCGACATGATTGCATGTATAAAGCTTTTAACCGATAAGAAATAGAACGTTTAACTATATAAACATGTATGGGAAATCTGCCGCATTCCCCTCAAACAATATTAGTTGGTGTTGATCTTTTTACACCAATAACATGTTTTAATGCAAGTAAATGTACCTTCTCTATACAACAATATTTATAAAGACCATTTCCAAAGACAGTTATCACATGAATGACTTACATGGTTTTGTTTTATATAGCTGGAATATTGTGAGTGCAAACACAGGAGGTGAGGTGAAATTGGGTTGAACGTCGTGCTTGAGAATATTTCGCTCATATGACGACGTGCATGCATGTGTATGTGTATGTGCGGCTGCTTGTACTAGCCCAGACTGAAGCTGGTTTTATAGTGCTAGCCCACTGAGATACCATGCCGCAGTGAAGCATGAATATCACACTCAGACACATTATACTGACTCCAAGCCGACCAGTTCTTGTTGTACCCATTAATGCCGAGCGCCAGGCAGGGACCAACAAGTACCATATTTTAACGTCTTTTGGTATGACGCGGTCGGGGATCGAACCCGCGACATTCCACTCTCCGGGCGGACGCTCTAACCACTACACCACGGAGGCGGTTACAAAACACAGGAACAAACATTCCTAAACATACTTTGATATCATTGTTTTCGATTTTTTATTATTGCTGAAAATAAAGGCTGTATTTAAACGTCACCCTAGTTCACATACGTCACTGTTACAAATATTTGGATGCCAAACATTATAGGGTTCCTCTATCAGAAATTCAAACGTAAGTATCACAACTGCCTCACTTATCAAAACTCCTTCACGTAGTTCAGCAGCTCCACTTATCGCACCTGCTATCACGTATCACTGATGATTCACGTTCAAACCTGGCTCACAAACCAGAACTACTTCACGTATCAAATCTCCTTTTCGTATCACATTTCAGTGACATGTGATGACACCAATGATTCCCGTTGCAAGATACATCATCCCGACCTGTCTCCAACAAGCACAATAGAGTGTGAATCATTGTGCGATAACCTTGAGGTCAACATAGGGCGATTCACATGTCATTGTAATTGGACCACAGTCCGTGGGATAACTGGGCGTGCATATGTACCCAAACACTATACCAATATAATGTATGCATAAGTCGGTATTAGAAATAAATATTGCAAGTCCCACGGTCCCTATTCTAATATTGCGTTGTTATTTGACAGTTTCCTATTTTAAATGCTCTCAAAATAGTTTTTAATAAAATGTGATAATTTAGTTGTTATACTGTCATTTGACGGATTTTATACAGTTTGAATATATTGATATAATTGTAGAATTTTTTCTCGTCACGGACTGGATATTATTTGTAAATTGTCAATCTTTATTTCATACTGAAATGACATGCCGTTTACTTCCGCAGTTTAATTTCCCTAAAGGATTATCAGTCTTATCTTAGCTGCTATATCTACCCCCTAGCCTGACCCCAACCACCACCCGTCCTGGTTTTGCTTTTGAGACGCCCCCTTCTACCTGTTTGTTTTTATAGTGATAGTGAGACTCCAAGGTAGCTACGTCCTTAATGGTTTCAGCATTAAAGTTATCATTTTTTACGTCAGCTATCGTTTATAATAAAGCTAAGTCTAATTTCAAAATGTGCATTTAAAAAGTGTCCTTTGCAATACAATATCATCGCATACTAATTTGCATAAAGCCATGGTCTGTTCCAAATAAGTTCCAAAAACCGCATTGCTCATTTCTGCACTAATCTCTCCTCTGTAAAGTCCTTTTTTACGTTTCCTATCTCCCTACCACTGAGACTGTAGTTAGGCCGAACTTAGTTTAACAGATATTCCACACTTTCACATGTTAACTACATAAATTGTTGATATAAATGTGAAACCCCCCCAGTTTTTTCTATTTGCGACATTATTTAGGCATCGTGACACGCCCTTGAAGAGATGTGGTGTCAAAAGTCATTTCACAAATTCAGTATCATGTGTGTACCACAGGCCCTCGTGTCTTTGCGAGGATTAAGATGTTAAGAACATTTTAAAAAAAATTTGAGATGACCCCGGACTCGAAATGCTTCACAATGCAAGACATTTACTGTGTAGCATTTCGAGTCGGGGGTCATCTCAAATTTTTTAATCTTTAATCTTCACAAAGACACGAGGGCCTCTGGTGTGTACACCATTGGTGTTGATTCAGGTTTGACAACGACGACGCACACAGGAATGTTCTTCTGTCTCAGGAAATCTGTCACAACACAAACGACATGTGGATGGTCATTATCTTGCTGAAGGGTGAAGTTACGTGCTTGCTGTACATGAGGCCCAATAATCTCATCTCTGTATCACAGTCAGATTGCCACTGACAATGACAAGTTGTGTCGGACCATGAGATGTGATGTTGCCCCATACCATAACGCTTTCGCTACCAAACCGTCGAAGTTGAAAAACGCACGCGTCAGCACAACGATCAGCAACTTTAAGATTAAAATTAATTTGTAAATACCATTTTCTTATGAAACAAGGAATTGGAATTTAGTGTAACCATAGTTGTTTGTAGTGTCTCTTTTCACTTTCACACGAGAAGATTCGGATCGGCTGAAAAGTAGGCCATTGTCTGAATTGGTTCATGAGACTCTGTTTTGGTTTGTCATGTGCCGTAGATGCTGTCTGCACCAGGCAAGACGTGCCTGTCGGTGACGTTGGAACAAAATTGCAGGCCGATGTTGTGCTCCCTCAATCGCTTCCGTACAGTCCTGGAACTGACTGGACGCAAGCCAGGAATGGTCCGAGCAGTCAAACTGGCAGTCAGTAATCGATTCCTTTGATGAGTCAGCAGAATGTGGTTGTCTTGCCGACGTGACGTCACGCGTGGACGGCCGGTCCGAGGAAAATCTCTCGTGCTGCCATAATGTTGAAAACATCTCCATAGAGATGAGATCGTGTTTCTATGGACACCAAAATCTCTGGCCACTTCATTTTGAACCATTCCAGTCTCCAGCATACCCACGGCGCGGAGACGCTGGTTTTCTGTAACCCGTGGCATAACGTACACGCAGTTTAGGTTAAAATTAACGTGTTTTCCACACAATTCAAAGGTTAGATAATAAGCAATCGTTCTTCAATTTTCAATATCAGGTGTTTGAACTTCAGGTGTCAAAAAGCATGCAAAAAGTGAATAAGTTCATTGTGCACAAAGTGCACGTGCCAGGCGCGATACGTTACATAAAATCCAGTGCAAAGTGCTTTGCTATATATTTATTTAGGGTTATTCTTATAACTTTTCAAATAACTTTTATTTTATGCAATTTTGTGTTATACAAAGTAATACTGTTACTTTTTTCCATTAGTATACTATGATAATAGTCTATGTGGAACATAAATAGATTAGAAAGAAATTCCACCCACACATATGCTTTGCTCAAGTGCGCCATTTGAACAGACTAATGAACCTTCTTTCAATGCGGATGGTTTTGACATAATCAGATCTCGTGACCTCCACTGGAATTTCGTCCCCAAGAATATCCCCAGCTCTGATCATTTCCTTGAAAGGCATTAACTGTGTTAGAGGTTGGATAACACGTTATCCATGAGCAAGGCATGCCACTGGAAGAGTTACTGTCTACATGAATGATAAAAAACGGATATTGCCCAACTGACAAAACTAGTTAACGTCATTTTCAGAAACCAGAGTGTTATAGAGCCAACGGACCTGATGAAATGTTGGGAAACGTAGTGAATTGTTTCCAATCCACCTTTACAACATTGTGTGCAATATAACCCTTGTTCTGTACAGATGAAAATATAGTTCGAATATAAAACTCAATAAGGATATATCGTTAATGCCCAAATATGTAGTTCCTCTGATTATTTTTTTCGAAAGTTGCTGAGATTTGTTTCTGCTAAGACAGATATGAGAAAATGTCCATAGGGGACCAATTTCAACCAAAAGTATGTGAATAAATTTAGTTTTGAGCTGCTTTTAGCAATATTCCAGCAATATCACGATGGGTGACAGCAGAAATGGGCTTCACACATTTTATCCATGTGGGAATCGTACCCTGGTCTTCTGTATGACGAGCGAACGCTTTAACCACTAGTATAGGCTTCCCCACCGCCCCTCCAACCAAGAAACCAAATGGGACAACCAGATCTGTCAAATAAAAATAATAAAAACAAATTCTATATTTCGTTTATTCCATCTTATTAGATATTTTAACACAGCCATTGGAATGTTGCAACTGAACAGCAGAACACCTGACATAAATATTGCACTGACACAAACATATCTCAGATCTGGAAGTCCTTCACAAGCTGATCAGAGTGCAATGCTGACAGTATGGACAGTACACATCATGTTTTTCTACAGTAGTAAATGGTTGGTTGGTTGGTTGTTTAAGGCCGCACTATTCCAGCTATATGGTGGTGGTCTGTAAATAGTTGAGTCTGGACCAGACAATCCAGTGATCAACAGCATGAGCATCGATCTACGCAATTGGGACACGATGACATGTTTCAGCTACATCACACAATAAAACAATGCTACTACACTACCCCACCCTTGCCCCCAGATTTTGAAAGTGCACGACATACCAGGATACAACTTTTAAAAGCTTAAAGATGCGCTGATAAGTATTGCACTCAAACTGCAGTACCGTAGAAAATTTATAATAAGATACAAAGTGCTTTTGCATTTTGTTTTATTGACCCTCCCTAATAAAACAATGTCAAGGGACTAGTGGTGTTCCGATTAATTGAAATAATCGAAGATTGGTCGAAGTGACCAAACGACCAAGCAGTCGATCACATTTTCTCATAATCGAACACAAACGATTTTGGAATGGCTGTTTTAGTCTTTGAAACACTTGACGATGGAACATATCTTCGAAGTTGTCAGGGCCTGAAAACTTGTTTAATTCTTAGAAAACTCACTTCACTAACTGAAAAGTCATGATTGAATATTTCTTGACGACCCCAGAAGGTTTATGTTCATGATATATCAACATCACTTTAAAGTAGCAAGGTGCATCATGTTATACATATCTGCAATAACAACCTGGATAGGAAAATCTCAAAATTGACGCTAACCAATTTATATCGATGATTGTTCGTTGGTAATGAAGCAATCATCAATTATGAGATTTCAACCAATTCCCAACACGACCAGGGACATCAGGTGGGTCATCCTAAAAATATATGTAGAGAAACAAATAAAGGAACACAGGAAAATGCAAGCGTTCCTTTATTATTTTCCAGTTTTCATCACCAGGGCTCTATTCAAAGCTGGTGATGAAAACTAGAAAATATTGAAGGAACGCTGGAATTTTCCTGTGTTCCTTTATTTGTTTCTCTACTTATATGACAAGCAGTAATGGAGGGCCATTATTAATAGTACATTAGTGCAACAAAATCTCCAGAACATTCTATCACAACCCAACCCTTTAAAAAAAGATGACTGATCCCTTAAAAGGGTACAGTTATGACCTAGTCAGTATAGAATTTCAGGTAGAAACTCTAAGAGCTCAGCAAGATATAGACACTAATAAATATTTGGATATAATACAATGATGGTGAAACTGCAATAATGTTTGACCATTCCTAACACACAACCATGTATTTACAAATTTCTTATATGTACAATGAACATACAAACTATTCAAACATAACATAGCTTACATTTACAACATCACATACAACCAAACAAACAGCATTAAATGAAACAGATACTTATAACCGCTTTTTTATAAGCCTTTCTAATTTTTTAATTCGACTTGATTCTGGTTCTGGTGATGATCCTTGTGTGTGAGACCCAACAGCAGTTCCCTCCCCTAGATTGGAGCTGGAGCCTGCTGGGTTTCTGACTCGATACATTTCAATCAGATGACTCTGTTCGCTGCGACGCAGGCCCTGGGGAATAGACAGGATAATACCTCAACTCACTATCATCATCTTGCTGGTTATCAACAGCCTTCTCAAGGACTGTTGGAATCAGGAATCTAAAGGTCTGATCAAATGACTGACTGACTGACTGAGTTTGGTTTTACGCCGCTTTTAGCAATATTCCAGCAATATCATGGCGGGGGACACCAGAAATGGGCTTCACTCATTGTACCCATGTGGGGATTCGAACCCGGGTCTTCGGAGTGACGAGCCAACGCTTTAACCACTAGGCTACCCCACCGCCCCCTGATCAAATGAATATTTGCCTGTTTGTTTATTGTTTAACATCACAGTCAGCTATATTCAGTCTGCATCAGGTCAATATTTGAGTTTGGACCAAACAATCCAGTGATTGATATAGTGAGCAAACATTCACCCAGACAAGGAACAGGGACACCTTATTGACCAATTTTCTTTTGTTTGTTTGTTGTTTAATGGTGCACTCAGCAATATGGCACTGGTCTGGACCAGACAATCCAGTGATCAACATCATGAGCATCGATCTACGCAAATGGGATATGATGACATGTGTCAACCAAGTCACTAACTTGATGACGACATCTTATTGTGGTACTCTCTTACAAAAAGCATTCATTGGTGGTGACTGATTCTAACCAGTATCCTCATAGGGGGATTAAGTTAATGAAATTATGTAATACCCAAGCAGATTTATATACTGACACTAGCAATTCAAGCATACCTTCATATCAAGGACCTTCTGAAAGTCATTGATGTCGGAGTCTGTGAGGAGGCGGATGAAGTTGTCCACAAAGCCCTGGGGAGGATCATGGGGTGACATGACGACCTGCAGCAGGAGATGGCAACAGTGAGTCCTTGCAACATCGTGTCATTAACACAGTGAGTCCTTGCAACATCGTGTCATTAACACAGTGAGTCATTACATCAGTGAGTCCTTGCAACATCGTGTCATTAACACAGTGAGTCATTACATCAGTGAGTCCATACAACAGAGGGTCATTAACACAGTGAGTCATTACATCAGTGAGTCCATACAACAGAGGGTCATTAGAACAGTCAATACAGCGAGAGTGAGTCATTACAAATGAGAGTCATTACAACAGTGGGTCATTACAAGTGAGAGTCATTACAACAGTGGGTCATTACAAGTGAGAGTCATTACAACAGTGGGTCATTACAAGTGAAAGTGTGAGAGTCATTACAACAGTGAGTCATTACAAGTGAGAGTCATTACAACAGTGGGTCATTACAAGTGAGAGTCATTACAACAGTGGGTCATTACAAGTGAGAGTCATTACAACAGTGGGTCATTACAAGTGAGAGTCATTACAACAGTGAGTCATTACAAATGAGAGTCATTACAACAGTGGGTCATTACAAGTGAGAGTCATTACAACAGTGGGTCATTACAACAGTGAGTCATTACAAATGAGAGTCATTACAACAGCGGGTCATTACAAGTGAGAGTCATTACAACAGTGAGTCATTACAAACAAGAGGACAAAGTCATCAATATCCCCCGCAATGGCAAAAATACTCTTCATGATTATGTCTATGAGTTATGATTATGTCAAATATTTAGGTGTGTATATAGAAAAGTGGAAGGAGAGTATTGAAAGGTTTTGAAAGTTCTGCTCCAGAAAGGAGCACTATCAGCAATTTCAGTCTAAGTCAAACTTGTTGCCATGGAAACGCCAAAAATATTTTGTTCAGAATTCCAAAACTACCAAAAGGCACAAGTACACCACCAGATCTATCTATGTGCCAAGTTTGGTGAAGAAATAGTGAACAGTTTTAGAGTTCTGCTCCGGAAAAGAGCACTACCACAATTTCAGGCTAAGTCAAACTTGTTGCCATGGAAATGCCAAAAATATCTTATTCAGAATTCCAAAACTACCAAAAGGCACCAGTACACCACCAGATCTATCTATGTGCAAGTTTGGTGAAGAAATATTGAACGGTTTTAGAGTTCTGCTCGAAAAGAGCACTACCACCAATTTCAGTCTTAAGTCAAACTTGTTGCCATGGAAACGCCAAAATATTTTATTCAGAATTCCAAAACTACCAAAAGGCACCAGTACACCACCAGATCTATCTATGTGCCAAGTTTGGTGAAGAAATAGTGAACGGTTTTAGAGTTCTGCTCCGAAAAGAGCACTACCACAATTTCAGGCTAAGTCAAACTTGTTGCCATGGAAACGCCAAAATATTTTATTCAGAATTCCAAAACTACCAAAGGCACCAGTACACCACCAGATCTATCTGTATATGCCAAGTTTGGTGAAGAAGAATATTGAACGGTTTTAGAGTTCTGCTCTCCGAAAAAGACACTACCACTAATTTCAGTTTTAAGTCAAACTTGTTGCCATGGAAACGCCAAAAATATTTTATTCAAATTCCAATGATCACTACCAAAATCTGCACACCATGAGTACACCACCAGATCTATCTATGTGCCAGTTTGGTGAAGAAATAGTGAACAGTTTTAGAGTTCTGCTCTGAAAAGAGCACTACCACCAATTTCAGGCTAAGTCAAACTTGTTGCCATGGAAATGCTAAAAATATCTTATTCAGAATTCAAAACTACCAAAAGGCACCAGTACACCACCAGATCTATCTATGTGCAAGTTTGGTGAAGAAATATTGAACGGTTTTAGAGTTCTGCTCCGGAAAAGGACACTACCACCAATTTCAGTCTAAGTCAAACTTGTTGCCATGGAAACGCCAAAAATATTTTGTTCAGAATTCCAATACTACCAAAAGGCACAAGTACACCACCATATCTATCTATGTGCCAAGTTTTGTGATGAAATAGTGAACGGTTTTAGAGTTCTGCTCCGGAAAAGAGCACTACCACAATTTCAGGCTAAGTCAAACTTGTTGCCATGGAAATGCCAAAAATATTTTATTCAGAATTCCAAAACTACCAAAAGGCACCAGTACACCACCAGATCTATCTATGTGCAAGTTTGGTGAAGAAATATTGAACGGTTTTAGAGTTCTGCTCCGGAAAAGGACACTACCACCAATTTCAGTCAAAGTCGAACTTGTTGCCATGGAAACGCCAAAAATATTTTATTCAGAATTCCAATACTACCAAAAGGCACCAGTACACCACCAGATCTATCTATGTGCCAAGTTTTGTGATGAAATAGTGAACGGTTTTAGAGTTCTGCTCTGGAAAAGAGCACTACCACCAATTTCAGTCAAAGTCGAACTTGTTGCCATGGAAACGCCAAAAATATTTAATTCAGAATTCCCAAACTACCAAAAGGCACCAGTACACCACCAGATCCATGTATGTGCCAAGTTTGGTGAAGAAACATTGAACGGTTTTAGAGTTCTGCTCCGGAAAAGACAAATGTGCACGGACGGACGGACGGACTGACGGACGGAGTCGATTTTAATACCCCCCGCAAAACGTGTTGCGGATGATAATGAGAGTCATTACAACAGTGGGTCATTACAAGTGAGAGTCATTACAACAGTGGGTCATTACAAGTGAGAGTCATTACAAGTGAGAGTCATTACAACAGTGGGTCATTACAAGTGAGAGTCATTACAACAGTGGGTCATTACAAGTGAGAGTCATTACAAGTGAGAGTCATTACAACAGTGGGTCATTACAAGTGAGAGTCATTACAAGTGAGAGTCATTACAACAGTGGGTCATTACAAGTGAGAGTCATTACAACAGTGGGTCATTACAAGTGAGAGTCATTGCAACAGTGAGTGATTACAACAAGAATGAGTCATTGCTACAACAGCACGTCAACAGCGACTCATAAAAAGTGCTGTGTCATTATAACAGCTGTGAGCTGTCATGAATGTTCATGTAGCCAGAACAGACAGTCGTCACGGCAACAGTCCTTGTGACTGTGCAGTAACAATTACATATCATGCATACCTGAGTGATGACTAAGATGACTTTAGATTATTAAAGTATATTAGACAGTCAATATTGAAGTTACATACCTTCAATATCATCTCAGCTTTAGTCATCCCTTTGACCACAATCTTCGTAAAACTGAAACAGTAGAGATAAAGAGATGCAATGCTGTGTAAAATCTGGCAACACTGAGGTATTGAATCTTTATTCTTGTACATTGACATGTTTAACAATCACAACAATCTCAACAATATATAACTTAACTGCATTTAACAAAGTCCACAATTTTGCTCTGCACACCACGTCTTGCCGACTTCATTTTGTCAACTGCATCTGAGAGTCGAAGGTAGGACTATTTGAACCTTCACAAACAAGTAGATGACATAGTGTCTCTAATGCTGCATTGGCCTCAGCAAAGGATGGCTTCGGGCGAGGTTCATCATCTTCACTGTCAGAGTCGGGAGTGGATGTGACAGTGGGCGTGGCAAGCTGCTGGGCTACTGACATCACAATCTCGTCTTCAGTAGGGCGTTCGGCTAAAACAACTTCATTGTCAGCGTTGATGAAGTCGTCCAACGTGACAGCTGCCGGGATTTCTTCTGCTTTATCTGACAGTTCATAACAGTTCTTAACTCTGAGGTCGGAAAGAACCATGTTGTCTGTCTCATCGTCTGATGAATCTTCATCTCGCTGAGGAAGGACAAAGCCTCCCTTCCAGTAGCAGTTAGATGTGACCTGTCTCCAAGCGGCATGAATCATCTGGATGGCATCAAGGAGAGTGATCTGATGTTCTTTCTTCTGATCATAGGGAGTCAGTATGTTCCTCATTACCTGGCCCTTGTACAGTTGTTTCAGGTTTGCGATAATACCATGGTCCATGGGTTGAATCTTACACGTAGTGTTCGGTGGAAGGAAGACCAGTTTGACGTGTGTCAGGTGCTTCACAACAGGATGGGCAGGACAATTGTCTACAAACATCAGGATCTTACGGTTTTGTCTTGTCATACTCTTATCCAGGTTTTTGATCCACTCTGTGAATAATTCACCAGTCATCCAGGACTTGGCATTTGATCTGTATGTTACTGGCAAACTGAGTACATTTTTTAAGCATCTAGGCTTTTCTGACTTCCCTACGACTAACAACTTAAGTTTTTCACTCCCAGTCATGTTTGCCGCAACCAACAATGTTATTCTCTCTTTAGAATTTTTACCCCCACTGCATTTTTCAGATTTAAAGTGAAGAGTTCTGTTTGGTTTCATTTTGTAGAAGAGGCCAGTTTCGTCAGCATTGAAAAAGTTATCAGGCTTGTACTCTTCAAGATAGCCAGGCAGGAGAGTTTACAGCCAATCATTGACGAGGTCAGGGTCAACAGATGCACTTTCCCCGTTTACATACGATGCCACGCCTCTGTTTGAATCTGTCCATCCAAGCACTACTGCAATTAAAATCTAAATGACCTAACTTAGATGCCAATTCATTTGCCTTAGTCTGCAACGTCGGACCATTTAAGTGAATGTTCTCACTTCTAGCCCCTTGAAACCATTTGTAGAGAGCATCTTCTACATCTTGGTGATTGGCAGCTCTTAACTTTTAGCGGGCGGGGCTTAAATCAGTAGACACAGAATTTGCAAGAATAGATTCGCGATTCTTAATAATGGAACTGAGAGTGGATTTTGGAATGCCAAAGTCGAAAGCGATGTTTGTCTTAGATTTTACACCTGAATCTACAGCCTGAATTATCTGGAGCTTGGTGTCAAAGGTGATAGCTTTACGTTTGCCTGCCATAGTGACGAGAGTGAACTGAAGACCTGTATACCAGTCAAGCTTTTAAACACGATATGTTTGTTTTGTTAATTAATTAATGACCATCAAACAATGTTGATTCGCCGCCAACAAGGTTGATGTATACTGCTAAGTGGCTGAGCTGACACTGAGTGAGTTCGCTAATCACGTCGTTAATTGGGTCTTGTGGGTAGTAAATCAGTTCTGTATAGCCGTTAATTCGCTACTCACGAGTTCGTTATTCACGTATAATTTTAATGATACTATAAAGGACTATTGACGGGACTTTTAAATTTGTTCGCTATATTCATTTGTATGCTATATCTGTGTTCGCTATATCCATGTTCTACTGTAGTTGCATGTACAGTGATGTGCAGTAAACTTTGAACAAGGTACTGTGACTATGTGTCCCAGCCCACCTAGCTGTGAATGGGTACCTCGTAAGGGTGAGAAAGCTGCAATAACTCGTGCGACTAGTGGCTGCAAGAGTTTTTATACTCCCTGGGGAGTTGAGATTGACATTGTCTCACGTGGTAAGGTGTACCGTGTCTCACATAGTAAGGTGTACAGCATCTCACATAGTAAGGTGTACACGTCTCACAGAGTATGGTGTATAGTGTCTCACATGAAAAGGTTTACATTGACTCACATAATAAGGTGTACAGTGTCTTACATAATAAGGTGTACGTTGACTCACATAGTAAGGTGTACAGTGTCTCAGAAAGTAAGGTGCATAGTGTCTCACATAGTAAGGTGAATAGTGTCTCACATAATAAGGTGTACAGTGTCTCACATGGTGGATTGAGTAGTGTTTTAAATAGTGGGCTGTATGGCATCTCACCAGACAAGACTCTAAATGTCTCACCTGGCAGGGGCCTTCCTGTTGAGCTGGGAGCCAAGAGATGGGAGATCCAGCAGCACAGTCTTCAGGCTGTGAGTGTCCAACAGCAACTGTCCAACAAACACACAGATATTACACAGGAGAGTTACTACCAACCTTTGAAACACTCTGAGGAATGTCCTACATCCCCATGAGAGGCATGCATTGACGTTCATGAGTTCATGGTTGATTTCAGATGTTTGAATTATATGTCAGATATTTTGTCAAAGCCAGCAGTAATGAGTGTGATTCTAAGATGCCTAGCGGTTAGAACAATCGAAAAAAAAATACATTATCAGACAATAAAGGTATAGTTTTTTGATGACGTAACAATTGAATGACGTTATCCCGTCACTGCGCCATTCTAGTGTGCCCCCTCGTAATCGAACCATTTTACATTACGTCACAATGTAAGCGACGTCACGATGCATGTCAGTTGTCATCGCCTCGTACGGCCTCCTACAGTAAACTACTCTGTTGCATCCTGTTTCTTGGTTTGCAGTTGCTTCACGCAGCTAACATCACTGGTGGAAACATTACGTTTATGTTTTACGGCCCGTTAAAATGTGTCAATTCGACTCACAAGTTTTCAGCGACACGGTAAGCGTTCAAGCAATGTTTACATTCCCACAATGCAATCGTGGAATGTAGCCTGACTACTCAGCTTCATCTGGATGTACTGATCTAAACTTACGTTGGTAGTAGAAATGCGACGCTCATATTGCCCCATATGGTTCACGTTAATGACAGATGTAATTAAAATAATTCAGAGAAGATATTTAATCCCGAACGTAAACCGTCATCAAACTGTTATCATTTGTTTTTTTCTGGTAACGTTAGTCTTAACGTAGGGGGCAGACATATCAATAGAACAGCGCCAGTTAGCCCTAATGCGAGCATTCTTAATTTAGGACACCGACAACGTCGTTTGTTTTCTGCCTTAAATTAATCGTAATTATCCTTAGAAAGTATTAAATTTAGCATCTTGAGAAAAGATGTAAAGTTTGCTCTACCCCAATGTGTTTAAAAGTATAGTTTTGCCCTGAACTATTATAACATCAAAGCACTCGGACTACCGCCCCTCGTGCTTTAATTATAATAGTTCAGGGCAAAACTATACTTTATTACAAAACACATTGGGGTAGAGCAAACTTTACATCTTTTCTAAGATGCTAAATTTAATACTTTCTAAGGATAATTACGATTAATTAACCGTCCTCGTGCTTTAATTATAATAGTTCAGGGCAAAACTATACTTTATTACAAAACACATTGGGGTAGAGCGAACTTTATTTCCTAATTATATATGCTTTATACTTTGTTGAAAATAATCATAATAATGTTTTGTCCTGCACATAATCCACTCTGTACCAGACTATCTAGTTATTGATATTATGTGCGATGATATACATGACTGGGTCACAAAGACCCGTGAGGATCTAGGTTAGAATTGGTCTTCAGCAACCAACCAACCAAACAACCCACCCACCCACCAACCAACCCATCCACCCACCAACCCAACCCAACCCAACCCACCAACCCACCAAACCAGCCAACCCACCAAACCAACCAACCAAGCAACCAGCCAGCCAACCTCACCTGTTCTGCTGCCACTGTGCTGCTGGGTTTGCACCTACACAACTGGTTGATGAACTTTGGAATGAAGGAGCTGAAAGAGAAACAGATAATATTGTGATGATAATAGTGTCTTGCCATTTACAGTTTGTTTTGTAAAGTCACCTCTCAGAAATATAGCTACATAATGGTGGCCTGTAAACAACTGCTGGCTCTGTGAGCTGGTAATTAGTTGCCCCACTTTGAGAGTGTGGGTTCAAATCACAGATGGGATTAAAAAACTAAAAGTAATAGAATCCGTACTTTACAGAGAAAGTCTAATCCCAAATAGAGTGAGTGAGTTCAGGTTTACGCCGCTTTTGACAATATTCCAGCAATATCACAGCGGAGAATACCAGAAATGGGCTTCACACATTGTACCCATGTGGGGAATCGAACCAGGGTCTTTGGTGTGATGAGCAGAGATTGGGAAAGGCAGGGGCCATGGGCCATTTTGCAGATTAGAATAAAAATGGGCCATTAAAATTTTGAAGTTTACTATCAATACAAAGGGCAGTGGCCCATTCTAAATGCAGAAAATGGCTAAAAATCCTGAAAATGGCCCATTGTCAAAGTTCTCTATCCCAATCCTTGGATGAGCAAACACTTTTACCCCTAGTCTACCCAACCGCCCCTCCAAATATAGCATAATATCACAGTACATAATCCAAGTGAACACACTGCCAAGGTTACATCATCAGACACTGACTGGCTGACTGACTGACTGACTGACTGACTGTTTGGTTTTACGCCGCTTTTGGCAATATTCCAGCAACATCACGGCAGGGGACACCAGAAAAGGGCTTTACACATTGTACCCATGTGGGGATTCGAACCCGGGTCTTCGGCGTGACGAGCCAACGCTTTAACCTCTAGGCTACCCACTGCCCCGTTTGATCATGGAAGCAGGAGATGTTAAAACTGATAATGTATACAAGGTTCTTCACCCAATAACACCAGAATGTTTTCAAATGGCCCCCTCACAAGACAATCCGAGTCAGTCAGCTTTTACCCCTAGTCTACCCAACCGCCCCTCCAAATATAACATAATATCACAGTACATAATCCAAGTGAACACACTGCCAAGGTTACATCATCAGACACACAATGAATACCATACCGGAGTATAGACCAGTGTGACACTTACTTGGCAAACTTGACACAGAACTGAGTGAAGTACTTCCTGGATGCTGCCAGGTTGTCCCTGATGATCGGCAGGTTGGTCTTCAGGTGGGACGAGATGGCCGTCACGTAGCCGCTCTGGTCTCCCACAGCTTCGATGGTGGACCATGGCATCTACAAGTCAAAACAACAATCTAATACATTCTAATATCATTTGTACCAGTGTTCACGAATAGCGTCTGACCCTCTGACAAATACGGCAGATTTGCCAACGGTCCGATAGAAGTCTACAACCTGCCAGCCCCAGTGTCTGACTGTATATTTCACAATGACTTTGACTGACGTTGTTATATGTGACATGTGACACTTGTTTCCTGTTTATAAATCTTATGTTTGTTAATAATTTCAATGCCAATTATAAGAAATGTTAAATCTGAAATGTGTGTTTAATTTTATTCTATGGGTCCTGTGAATTTTCAATGGGTCAGACAGACATCTGAAACTTACAGGACCCAATGTCCTGTTACTTTGAAACACCATTCGTGAACACTGTTGTACAAGGTATGACTTCAGTAGAGGCTGACCAAGTAACCATCAGTATTCATGACCATTAATGTTTAGATACTGGGAGAGTTCATTTCTTCTGCAATGAATCAATTTCCAAAAATGAAGGAAAAAACAATTATCATTAAATAACATGCAGAAAGGTTCGTATTCCCATGATGGATCCAGGTGTGTTAGGTTCCAGGCTAAAACTTCTCAGAGTATGCTTCACTGACTGTTGTACAAGACTGGCAGATGAAGTGGGTGTCCTTTGTCTACCTACACAAACCTGCAAGCACATCTAAGGGTCTCCCCTTTTCGTATTCAGGGAGTGGTGTGTCTGGAGGAACTGGGCTTTTTATTAAGATGCATTATGTTTACAGGTGACATTTCAATAAGTACCTCTTCTTCTCTGAAGGAGGGAGCCAAACAGTTCTATTTGACCCACAACACATTTTTTAAACATCCAGCATATCCATTGAACAATATATTTCCTGGGGTAAGTACTTCTTTCAATATGGTGGCTAATCTGAACTGGAATTGTCTGGTAACTGCTTCTTGACTGAGTTAAGAGTTAAAGTGTCAGCAAGACTGTCAAATTCTGAGAAAACAAGACACGATCTTTGGCCTTACCTTACTCATGGCTGTCAGTGCGGCTCACATGCAGTCTCCAGGTCCTGTACCAGCAGCTGGATGCAGTTGGATATAACACTGAAACATGAGGTTATAAACATGAAACATGAGGTTATAACACTGAAACATGAGGTTATAACACTGAAACATTAGGTAATAACACTGAAACATTAGGTTATAACACTGAAACATGAGGTTATAACACTGAAACATGAGGTTATAACACTGAAACATTAGGTAATAACACTGAAACATGAGGTTATAACACTGAAACATTAGGTAATAACACTGAAACATGAGGTTATAACACTGAAACATGAGGTTATAACACTGAAACATGAGGTTATAACACTGAAACATGAGGTTATAACACTGAAACATTAGGTAATAACACTGAAACATTAGGTTATAACACTGAAACATTAGGTTATAACACTGAAACATTATAAGTTGTTCACTGGTCTCGAGGGGTACATCAACCCATGGGCCCCGAGGGACCAGTAAACAACGTATTTATCTTACCGAACACCTCAATGGTAATTTTGAACTGTTTGAAGCATAGGTATCAGATCACAGTATGGAGTACCAGACGACAAGACGACAAGAAAAACAAATTTAGAGTTATCTCCCTTCCAGCGATTTCCATTCGCAAAACATCGGTAATTTCTGTACATCATACGTGATGCAATGTTATTCGAGATAAAGAATTACTACCATGAAGTACCAAATGAGTTCGGCATTCCCAGCGGGGTACATAGATAATGTTACTCGCTTGTAAACGGGGTACATTGAAAATAATAGAAGAGTGCTCAGCCAATCAGAAAACGACATTTATGTGTGAGGCAAGATAAGTCTGGATATAACACTAATACACAATGTATGGGTATAGCAGTGAAACATGATGTCTGGATACAACATTGAAACAGGTGGATACTATGCCTGGATTTTACACTGAAACATAATATTTGGATACAACATCAATATATAATGCACTGATATTATACAATTATTGACTTCTAGTGAGGTTGATCCAAAGATTTATCGACCTTGGACATGTCATATTCACCGAGGCGAAGCCGAGGTAAATATCACATGTCCAAGGCTGATAAATCATTGGATCAACCGAACTGAAGTCAATAACTGTTTAATTATGTGACAAAAGTACTGAATACCTGTTCTTCTGTGACATAGGAGAGATTCAATATAAGCTGGAATAGGCTTACAGCTTTCAGAGGCAGTATTAGTAAATGAAAGCAATTTTTTAAAATTTTAACTTGTTTATTATCACAACCCTTTCAGATATCTTTCAACAGTCAATAACATTTCAACATCTTTAAGATATCACAGTTGAAATATTTCAAGTCTCAATTTCAGCAGTGCGGAGTTCACAGCTGGAATATCCCAAATCTATCTTTAACCACGGGAGGTGCTTGGATTGTTATATCAACCTTGAAGCGTCACAGCTGTCATGTGACCAAATGGGCCAATCAGAAGGGCGGAAATCTACCCGTCATATAATAAAACACTGAAACATGTCTGGATATCACATACAACATGGGAAATCAGAACATACTACCGATATATACTTGGATACTTTGACACACAGGGGTGGAAATAATCCATTGCCCGACGCCCCAGTCCAGTGTTTTTTTCAGTCGGGCAAGCAAATTTGTATAACACACTGTACCGGTGTCCGGTTGACTTTCCAATGTTAGTTATGTTGTTTATTTAAAAAATCAACAAGAAAATCGGCCAGTATAGTGGAAAAATTATCAGGGCAAGTGATTTTACATGTGCCACTGTACCAGAGTTCAGGAACAATTTAAAAGTTATTTCCACCCCTGACACAATGTTCTCCACTGGTACTCACTTGTGGAACATATCCTGCTCTGCATTGAGATCAATGTTTGCTGCCAGATGGTCGTCCACCTTCTCCCGCAGCTTCTCCTCCAGCTGCTGCGTCGTCTCCATGCAGTACTCCGCAGTACACAGGATGCTGCACGTCCGACACTGTTCCTCCTCCGTCAGCTTCGTCACCTCCCCCTCCTTCAGGATGCTCTGGATCAATCCCGTCGCTGAGCTGATACTGTTACTTTGACTGCTCAGTCTGAATCAGAGGTAGCAGTTGTCATTTACAATGATAATACAAGCTGGAGACAATTGATAGTCCCATTATTACCGCAGCTCAGCTTCCTGGGGAGAATACAATCTAAACTGCCTGTCACACTACCACCTCATCCCACCGGGTACCCATTCACTGTTAGACCACAGGCATATGTGGAAGAAGGAACATGAAAAGCAACAAATTAGGTACTTGGAACTTAAGGGTACACATGAAATACATGGGTCTGAACGCATAAGGGACCGTTCATAATTTATAGCTAGGGGTGGTGAGGGTTGGGAATGGGGGGGTGATGATGATGCCGATTTTAAAGGGGAGGGGGTGTCCCATTTTGTTCAGGGAGGTAGGGGGCATCAATTTTGTACACATGTACTAGGAGGAGGGGGAGGGGGAGGAGAAAGCAATTTTGTGCATAAGAATATTAAATAATTATGCTTAAAACTTATGGGAGGGGGAGGCACTGATTTTGTACATGACATGCAGGGGGGTCACATACTTTGTACATAAATTTTAGGGGGGGTATTGACATTGTACACGCTTCTCCATAAAAATCATCATCAACCCCCCCTTGCCATAAATTATGAACAACCCCTAGGGTTGAGGAACTTACTTGGGCAGATTGTTGAGCAGGACTCTGATGGCGTACTCCTTGAGATACTTCTGGAATGTTTTTGTTAGGTCCTGCATGGGCTGACCAGTGGACAGCTGAGAACACTGGACCATACACTTCTTGTAGAACACAAACAGGTCCGCACAGCTGGGCAGCACGTTGCTTCCCTCGTCAGTCTCCATACGGGGTGTGCCGTGCTGTCGCAGATCCTCCAGGAAGCGCCCAATAAGCTCAGCCAGATTCCTGAATACAGCCAATTACAAATACATATTGAAACGTTTACAATAAATTTTACATTTATAAATTCTTATGCTGTTTCTCACTGTGATTTACTCCTTCTGTGATCACTGAGTGAAAACACGTTACCTTGTTCCACCTTCAAGAAACACTTCACCTGAACACATCCAAGCTGTAGTCGAGTCATCGTGGTCATTGTTTTACTGGTAACAGCGCTTTAGTCACATACAATGTGTAAAATACTATCCAAATTTTGCTAGCCAGTCAGACTAGCTAACCTGAAAGTTACTTGCTCACAAAATAATTCACTAGCCAGAAATTTGAATGTACACACAGGTTTCATCATTAAGCTGCTAATATGATGAACATTTTTATCAGGCCATAATCTTGCACAATTTAAAAAAGTCCATTATAACTAAACAAGTTGGAGAGAGTGATATATTTACAAAATGACCCCATGAAAATTCACTACCCAGTCGGGCCACTGACTCTGGAGAATTACTGGCCTGACTGGATTATTACTTGCTACAGGCTAGCAGGCCAGTGTCTATTTCGCACACTGGTCACATACATCTCTCTACGTCTCCCTAGCCTGCTTTGTCAATCATTTACAATCGCAAGGCGCTGGGGTAAAAAATGAGTCTGGGCCAAACATTCCTCTCATTGACACAAGAAAAAGTACCTTCCTCATCAGGATACCTTGACACACAGTTACCATAGCGACAGTCTGACAACCAGAACCATTCCATCTCCTTCTATGACCAGGACAGGTGACTAAAGACAAATTCTAACCCAAACATTCAAATAACGGTTGTCTTAAAATGAATGCTTACCTATCTTGTGAATCAATGTATATATTGAGATGAGCTTCAAAACATCGAGAGATGATTCCAGTGAAAGGAGTAGCTTGAGACTTTGCAGCTGACTAAAATACAAAACATAGGTGAGGTGAGGTGAGGTGAAATTGGGTTTAGCGTCGTGCTTGATAATATTTCGCTCATATGACGACGTGCATGCACGTGTATGTGTATATGCGGCTGCTTGTACTAGCCCAGACTTAAGCTGGTTTTATAGTGCTAGCCCACTGAGATGACATGCCACAGTGAAGCATGAATACCCCACTCAGACACATTATACTGACTCCGAGCCGACCAGTCCCTATTGTACCCATTAATGCCGAGCGCCAGGCAGGGACCAACAAGTACCATATTTTAACGTCTTTTGGTATGACGCAGTCGGGGATCGAACCCGCGACCTTCCGCTCTCCAGGAGAATGCTCTAACCACTACACCACGGAGGCGGTCACAAAACATAGTATTAGGAAATCACATTTATAAATTCTGATTAAATGTTATATACTCTGAACGACCTCAAGACAAGTCAGAATGAAAAGCGTCATAATCCATGAGAGTTATCTACCTTGGACTCCTCTCCTGCTGGGGACGTGACTTCCTGATCACTCTCATTTTCAAACGGGTTTGTTGATTCTTCAAATGGGTTTGTTGTAGCTGCTGGGGCTGGAGTGGGAGGTTTCCCCTGGGATGGAGAAACTTTACATGAGACATGTACAATATTCCATGATCAAATCTCATGATTGCTGGGGGAATAGAGTGAATGAGTTGGATTTTAGTCTTCTGTGAGTGAGTGTGTGAGTGAGTATGGCTTTACACCGCTTTTAGCAATATTCCAGCAATATCACGGCGGGGGACAACAGAAATTGGCTTCACACACTGTATTAATGTGAGGAATCGAACCTGGGTCTTCGGTGTGATGAACAAACGCTTTAACCATTAGGCTACCCCACCGCCCCTAGTGTATTACAGTATTTCAGCTATGGCTTGATACGGTAGGAGAGCATGTAATGATGCAGACCTTCAGATCTTAATAGGGCGGTAGGGTAGCTTAGTGGTTGAAGCGTTCGCTCGGCACGCCAAAGATGTTCGATTCTCTACCTGATACAATGTGTGAAGCCCATGTGTAAAACCATTCTCTCTCACTCACCCTCAGATTTTATTAGTTTAGTGAAACCCACAAACATGGATGGTGGAAGAAGAAACAGGAATATTTCCGCAAATTTCAATTACATGTCAGCCAATACACAGCCATACAAATAAATTGTCTTTGGGAGACTAGCGGATAGGGTCTAGGAAATAAGGTACTTGGGAACTAAGCAAGTGATAACAGTGTTAAGATCTACATGGAAACATTGCTGCTCTTGTAATAAAGAAGTTGTTCATCCATATATCTTATCTTTCCTTTCTTATAAGTCCTAAGATATCTAAGCATGCCAAATCATGATGTACTTAGTCATACCTGTGTCTCATTCAGTGTCACGCCCATGAAACGTTTTGATATAAGAGTCTCAAAGTTGGTGGTACGTTGTATTGCAAACAACAGCAACTTGACGTCAATCTCCACTGCTCTGAGGCCCATGATGCGAGATAACTCTTTCCTGAAAACAACAGATTATTATGCATACAACCAACAAACTAGACACAGAGACTGTCTCTATCTAACAGCTCAGCATACAATAGTCCACACTATCAAATAAAATCTAATTCAACTAAAAGGGATGCTGATAGCTTAGTTCAAGCTAGTCACTATAGTACTGTCGGAAATGCTAGAAAAATGCTTTTTGACTGTTATTTAAAATTCAGAGGTATTACAGTTACTTAAATAACAAATATCACTTCAAGAAACATCTACCTAATGTAGACCGAGGGAATAAATTTTGAGACATGCTCTAAAATGTGATTTTACTGATGAAAATACCAAAAACTTAGACAAATAAGGGGTAGTGGGACGTTATTTGATACAAACATTAACTGCCTGTGTTACGTCATCAGCATGCACGGTATCGACAGGTGAAATTGACACCCTGAGCACACGCCGGGCTTCGGGGGTCATCTCAATATATGTTTTCTGCAAAATGTTGAATATGTGTGTGTGCATATAGTATGCATTATCGGTTATGTAAGGGATCATTTGTGTATGTGTATTTGTTTTGAAATAAACATACGAATTACTGTACACTGGAAAGAATCCCATCACTTGTGTTATCTTATCGATTGATCGTAGAAATGTTCAATGTTTTAATAAATGTTTTGCAAGTCAACAGTATATTTCATTGAAAAAATATGGATATAATTCGGTCAGTTTCATCTAGTTGTGAACATTGGCCAAAGATTTAACAAAGTCATTGGTGTAGCTTCTTTAGCATATATATATTTTTCTTCTCATAAAGTTTGTAGACCGCCCGTCTAAGCACTCCCTTGTCAAAGTTGTCAAGGATGGTTTTACGTCCCGGTTTTGCATTTGAGACGGTCCCTCTCTTGTCTGATTTGTTTACAATATTGTAAACTTGTTGGTAAGACATGCCAACAGCTCTACAAGTTCTGTAATAAACCCTTCCTAAACTAATGAAAGGTTTACCTCTGTCTTTTTTAAACAGAAAAAAACTATAAACCTTTGCAACAATTGACTGCAAATCGTTGGCCATAGTGGACGCTGTGATAAAGATGTGCATGCATGACGGGAAACTTATTTATCAAGACTTAACATTTATATTAATATTTCTTCAATAAAGAAACGATAATTAAGTAAAGTAACACAAACATTCAACGTTTATTTGTTTAGGAAAAACGTTAATTCATATTTTTACACCACCTGTATTATTAGCATAAATGTAAAGACTATTTCAGAATTCTGTTGTTGAACTCTGAAAAAATCTTAAGTTGCTGTTTTGGTACCAAATTCTCTCCTGTAAACTGCCCTTTAAATGCATGGGAATGTTAAATCGGTTGAAATAAAAATTAGGTAGACAATAGACGAGTTGATATATTGACAACATAGTAAATGTATCACCTTTATAAAGATATTAAGGCTAAAAAGCATTTTTCTAGCATTTCCCGACAGTACTATAGTTATTGGCACTGGTTGGTATGTTTGGTTGTTGTATTACCCCTCACTTAGCAATGTTCCAGCTAAATGGTGGCAGTCTGTAAATATTGGAGTCTGGACCAGACAATCTAGTGATCAACAGCATGAGCATCAATCTATGCAACTGGGATACGATGACATGTGTCAGCCAAGTCAGCATGCCTGACCATCCGATCCGGTTAGTCTCCTCTTACAAGAAAGGGGTGCTGAAGACCAGTTCTAACCCGGATCTTCATGGCTACACAGGCTGGTATGACATAGGTCAAACATTAGGGGACATTTTTTCAGGTGAGGTGAAATTGGGTTTAACGTTGTGCTCATTTTTTCAGGAGGCACTTGAAACGATATTAAGATGATCAGATTAAATCTAATGTAACACTCGTTTGTTGCTCCTGATATTGATTACCCATGTGTGTTTTCTATGTGCTCTTGAAGGTGTGATGATCATTCTAACATTTGGTTTGTAGTTTACAATCTCTCCAGCCTGTAGACATTAAAGTCTGGACCAGACAAACCAATGGTTGATATTATGAGCTTGTCTCAGTGGCATAGTGACGTAGCAAACAACAAACAAAACACTGAATGGAGGGGCAAGTTTAGGCACCTGGTTATATCGCAAAACTCCACACAAATCCTCTCGCTGACCTCCCAGTCAGGGGGGAACAGGTGACCGAACTTCTCCTCAAAGTCAACCAGGGTCCTCTTGATCCAGGCATACCGCCGGTCTATCTTGTCAAGCCAGGCAACCTGAAGATGCACATAATTAACCTCAAGTCATGTCACCAACAAGTAGCACAGTAATCTCAAGCATTGTCACCAACAAGTAACAGTAATCTCAAGCAATGTCAGCAGCAAGTTACACAGAAATCTCAAGTAATGTCACCAACAAGTAACACAGTAATCACAAGTAATGTCACCAACAAGTAACACAGTAATCACAAGTCATGTCACCAACAAGTAACACAGTAATCTCTAGTAATGACACCAACAAGTAACACAGTAATCTCAAGTAATGTCACCAACAAGTAACACAGTAATCTCAAGTAATGTCACCATCAAGTAACACAGTAATCTCAAGTAATGTCACCAACAAGTAACACAGTAATCTCAAGTAATGTCACCAACAAGTAACACAGTAATCTCAAGTAATGTCACCAACAAGTAACACAGTAATCTCAAGTAATGTCACCAACAAGTAACACAGTAATCACAAGTCATGTCACCAACAAGTAACACAGTAATCTCAAGTAATGTCACCAACAAGTAACACAGAAATCTCAAGCATTGTCACCAACAAGTAACAGTAATCTCAAGCATTGTCAGCAGCAAGTTACACAGAAATCTCAAGTAATGTCACCAACAAGTAACACAGTAATCACAAGTCATGTCACCAACAAGTAAACAGTAATCTCAAGTAATGTCACCAACAAGTAACACAGTAATCTCAAGTAATGTCACCAACAAGTAACAGTAGTCTCAAGTAATGTCACCAACAAGTAACAGTAGTCTCAAGTAATGTCACCAACAAGTAACACAGTAATCACACCAACAAGTAACAGTAGTCTCAAGTAATGTCACCAACAAGTAACAGTAGTCACAAGTAATGTCACCAACAAGTACCACAGTAGTCTCAAGTAATGTCACCAACAAGTAACAGTACAAGTATGTCACCAACAAGTAGTAATGTCACCAACAAGTAACAGTAGTCTCAAGTAATGTCACCAACAAGTAACACAGTAATCACAAGTAATGTCACCAACAATAACACAGTCACAACCAACAAGTAACAGTAGTCAAGTAATGTCACCAACAAGTAACACAGTAATCACAAGTAATGTCACCAACAAGTAACAGTAGTCTCAAGTAATGTCACCAACAAGTAACAGTAGTCTCAAGTAATGTCACCAACAAGTAACACAGTAATCACAAGTAATGTCACCAACAAGTAACAGTAATCTCAAGTAATGTCACCAACAAGTAACAGCAGTCTCAAGTAATGTCACCAACAAGTAACAGTAAGTCTCAAGCAAGTAATGTCACCAACAAGTAACAGTAGTAACAGTAGTCTCAAGTAATGTCACCAACAAGTAACAGTAGTCTCAAGTAATGTCACCAACAAGTAACACAGTAATCACAAGTAATGTCACCAACAAGTAACACAGTAATCACAAGTAATGTCACCAACAAGTAACAGTAGTCTCAAGTAATGTCACCAACAAGTAACACAGTAATCACAAGTAATGTCACCAACAAGTCACCAACAAGTAACAACAGTAAGTCACAAGTAATGTCACCAACAAGTAACAGTAGTCTCAAGTAATGTCACCAACAAGTAACACAGTAATCAAGTGATGTCACCAACAAGTAACAGCAGTCTCAAGTAATGTCACCAACAAGTAACACAGTAATCACAAGTAATGTCACCAACAAGTAACAGTAGTCTCAAGTAATGTCACCAACAAGTAACAGCAGTCTCAAGTAATGTCACCAACTATGTAAACAGTAATCACAAGTAATGTCACCAACAAGTAACAGTAGTCTCAAGTAATGTCACCAACAAGTAACACAGTAATCTCAAGCTTTGTCAGCAGCAAGTAACACAGTAATCTCAAGCATTGTCAGCAGCAAGTAACACAGTAATCTCAAGCTTTGTCAGCAGCACAGTAATCTCAAGTAATGTCACAACAAGTAACACAGTAATCTCAAGCATTGTCAGCAGCAAGTAACACAGTAATTTCAAGCATTGTCAGCAGCAAGTAACACAGTAATCTCAAGCATTGTCAGCAGCAAGTAACACAGTAATCTCAAGCATTGTCAGCAGCAAGTAACACAGTCATCTCAAGCATTGTCAGCAGCAAGTAACACAGTAATCTCAAGCATTGTCAGGAGCAAGTAACAGTAATCTCAAGTAATGTCACCAACACATAACACAGTCATCATCACAGTTACAGATTTGAGAAGACAACTTTTGATTGTTGATTTGTTTTCTTGACTAATGTTAACATGATACTCACATCCTGGTCCTGGGCAAACAGTACAAGATACTCGGACAGCTGCAGCTTCACAAACCAGCTGAGGAGGTCCCGCTTCACTTTGGGGTCAAGGACATTCACCACATAGCATGCTTCCCTGAGCTGTTTCTGATTGCTTGGCCCGTACTGATGGAAAATGGAGAAAGAAAAAAAATGCATCGACCATCATTATTTGGAGTTCAGTACTTTAGACAAAGGTACAAAGTTAACAACATAGAGTTTAGACTGCAAATTTAAAATCGAATTCACTGGATTATTACAGGAAATATGAGGGTCCTGTAAAGTAATAAAATGGTGTAATGTGCAGAAATGGAAGATTGAGTAACTTTTTTAATTACAGGAACCATATATTTCTTGTTGTGAATGTGGTACATTTCTTGGGACACACTATACAAGTATATGTATATATTTTCTGCAATCCATTCTATACATTTGTGTTTGCTGGACAGACATTCAGGTTAAACCCTGTAGAGGACACATATGAAGCACAAAGCATATTATTATCTGCTTGTATTGTGCTTATACTCCATGCATTGCATGCTCAAAGTGCTAACAGGAAAGCTACAATATTGCCCCATAAAACCCAAGCTGCCTGTGAGGCGCTAGAAGGTTAATAGTCATATGACTTATCCCACTGGGTACCCATTTTCTTCTGGGTGAACAGAGGCAATTTTGAACAAACTCATTTGCCTAAGGTGCTTCGTTGTGGAACAGGACTTAAGTCCTAGAAATTCTCAGGAGTCAAGCTGCCGAACACGGTCACCCATCCAAGGACTGTCCGAGCGCCCAAAGTTGCTTAACTTCACCTAAATTGTGACCTGAGCTCTATGCACAGGACCACACACCACACCTCCATAATTGGGGGTGTTCTGGACCCTCACTTCAACATCAAACTTAAGTTCACCTTGACTACAAATTAGGGGTCCCCAGGACCCTCACTTACTAATTTCAAGGGTCCTTACATGAAATATGTGGGTCCTTTAAAGTGATGAAATGATGTAGTAGTCTGTACTGTGATGTTTAATGATTACTTTACTTACATGAACTTTACTTAGAGCATAATACCGGTATTTAGAATATGATATCAATATGCAGAATATAATGCCAGCATTTAAAAAATAATACTTGCGTCAAGCATACAGTGCGTATATTCAGAATATAACACAAGAGATGCCAACCCTCAAACTAAGGAAAACGGAGTCATGACTGGCTGAAATCCAGGCCTGAGCACCAAACGTGAGTGCATGGTTGGCTCTGCCCTTTTGTTTCACTTTCATATGGACGATGACATGCATTTGACAAAACTTTGAGAAACTTCATCATCAATCACACACAATATACACAATTGACACCCAAAGGATCACACGCTAAGCTTCCGAATGCTTTTACCAGCGTTCACTCAAATAAATCACCCGTGACTTACAAAATTGTATACCGTAAAAATAACTTCAGAATTTTTTCTGAAAAATCGGAGAGCAGATTTTGTATTTGAAAATAGGAGTAACTCCGCCAAAATCGGAGTGGTTGGCATCTCTGTAACACTACAATTTTGAATATAGTTAAAGTATTTTGAATCCAGTAACAGGGTTTTAGAATAGTATTTAGAACACCAGTATTTAGAATATGATACCAATATGAATAATACAATACAATGTATTTGTAAAATACCAGTATTTCGAAAATAATACCAGTGCCAAGAATATAATACCAGTTTTGGAATAAAACACCAGTATTACAAATATAATTCCAGTATTTGAACACAGTGACAGGGTTTAGAATATAACAGCATTCAGAAGCTATTGCAGTCCTTACTATAATGACTACATCATAATGCCAGTATTTAGGGACTGTTCATAATTTATGGCTAGCGGTGGTGATGATGATTTTTATGGAGAAGCATGTACAATGTGAATGACCTCCCTTAAAATTTATGTACAAAATAAGTGACCCCACCTGCATGTCATGTACAAAATCAATGACACACCCCACCTCCCTTCCCATAATTTCTAAGCATAATTTTAAATATTTTCATGTACCAAATTGCTGATCCCCCTAGTACATGTGTACAAAATTGATGACCCCCCCTAGCTCCCCAGAACAAAATGGGTGACCCCACCTTTAAATCATCATCACACCCCCAGCCATAAATTATGAACGGTCCCTGACACCAATCCCTCATATAGATCACAATGAAACCTACCTTTGCGCCAGCTCCCTGGAAAGCTTCTTCAAAGTCTGCAATGATTTGTGTTCCGAGTTCTGACTGAATTTGTTTCACCCTTGAACAAAGACAACAGCACTGTCAAAGTCTTCACACTTCAGTACTGGGGACTAGTGGCTAATGGAACATAGTATGGGGAGTTAATGGAACATAGTAGATTTGGAGAGAGACTCGTGCAGATCTGGGTTAGAATTGATCTTCAGTAACTCCTGCTTGTACAACGGGATCGGTGATCAGGCTCGCTGACTTGGTTGGTGACTAACTAGATGGATCACTGGATTGTCTGGTCAGACCAATAGCTCAAATTTTGCTGAGTGTGGCGTAAAACTAAACACACTCACACTCAGATTTGGGGACAAACCAAAAATGTGGACTACTGTCTATGTCTAAACGTGTGTGATTCAAAACTATACTTTGTATAACAAGTTTGACATAACATACATACTGGAAAGATACTTGTCATACTTTAGAAATGACAAATAAAATCTACAAACATTTACAAGTGTAGAAAAAGCTTAACAGTTAACTTTACTCAGAATTCTATCAGGGCATTTGAATGACTCTGTATGCAAGATCAAACCAATACTGAAAAAGCATATAATATATTTTTTCATACATATATCCTTTTGCTTTTTATCACATGGTTCTATATTCAGACTAATCCTTAAAACACCAATTCATTGGCGGATCCAGAGGGGTAGTTCAGGGGATTCGAACCCATCCCTTTTCAAAATGACTTAAGACCACATTGAAGATTTGTTTTTGCGTTGGCTGAGCCAGTGGGGGGTTCAGGGGGTTCGAAATTCAAAATTCCTGGATCCACCCATGCAATTATTTTGAAATTACTGGATGCATTTGCAAATCTTGGAAACACTGAAGACAAAACTTCCAACCTACTTGTCAGCCAGCAGTTTGATCTGTGGGATGGACATATATTTGTCGAAGTGCTCCAGCACATTGAGTACACCTTGCAGTAAGTTAGCCACCTCTCCGTACTGACGTCTTCGCGTTAATGATCTAAAAAGTAAAATCACCATAAATATAGGACATAAAACACATAAAGAATGATTTCACTAATATCCTTTGAGTGAGTGAGGGGATGGGTATGGTTTTGTGCTGCTTTTAGCAATATTCCAGCAATACAGCAGGGGACACCAGAAACGGGCTTCACACATTTTACCCATGTGGGCAATCAAACCCGGGTCTTCAGTGTGACGAGTGGATGATTTAACCACTTGGCACCCCACCACCTGTAATATCCTTTAAAAACATTAGGGCTAATAGTTCCTGAGAGAATATGAGGGGACGAAGACCATCTCATTTAAGAAAATGAGCAGCCATTTTGAATTTTTCGAAAGAAAATTTACTTCGGACACAGTGACTATAATGTGAAGATAACATGTCTGATTACATTACAAAAGGAAACACTGGTATTTGTGCAGTAAAATCTAAACACCCATTGGCTAAAGGGGCACTGATCAATGGCTTCAACCTGACAGTCGGGTCTCTCAGAGTGTACAAACATGTTAGGTACTGACAATGGATATGTCATTAAGGGGCCATGTCATAAATATTATTTGGTATTATATTCCATTCCACTTCATGGAGTATGGTACAAAGATAAATATAACTGTTGAAATACACTTTATTTCATTCACAGTTCTTCAGCTGACAAAGGCTTGAGCAATCTCTATTTTGTTCATACTAAAGAGGCATACCTCTAATTACAGGAATTACCTCAAACAATACAAACATAATTCTAAATTTCCTGAGATTTTTAATGAATTTAGACAACATAAGCAATGAGACAAAAAAACATACATGAAACTTTTGAGAAAGTATTTTCAAAATTGATTTGAACTAAGAACCGCTTCAAGAGTCAGGATTTAATTTCGTTCTTTAGACAAAATCCTAGTCTGTCTCACAGTCCCTGAACTACATCATTTTAACCACGACAACCTTTACTGTCAAGTAAAGCTCTTTATGAAGCAAGTCTAGATGTTCCTCGGTTTTCAGCTTTTCAGGTCCCCATCTCCCATCACCTAACTGCGTAGATCGATGCTCAAGTATGTTGATCACTGCATTGTCTAGTCCTGACTCGATTATTTACAGACTGCTACGACATAACTGGAATACTGCTGAGTGCGGCATACACAACAACCAACCAACCACATCCCCTCACTAAGGCTGGTTTTCATTTCAAATGGATTTATTTGTTTCTATGATTATTCTATCTTCAGAGAAAAGGCTAAGTCTAACAAAGTCCTGGTAGTAAATTTGTACCTGTAATTAGTAAAGTATGCGTCACTTACGTCAGTGAATCGACTCCTCCTACAAGCATGTGAAGATGATTCAGTGTAGTGATTGAAGAGGTCAGATGTCGCTTGGCATGGTCGAGCTGTTTGATGTCTCGCGTTATCTCCTTCACCTGTCACCATGGAAACCATAGAAGTACATAACAAGTACCAACCTGCAGCATAATTAATAAGTCTACAAACTTATCTGTTTCCAGTGGTCTAGTATAGTGCCATCAGCTTGATCAGAATGGAGTCACTGTCATGGTTAAACAGAAATATGAGGGGCTAAGAATAGTTATGAAATACACAATGCCATTTTAGAAAGTGGTCAAATGTCACATGTTATATTTGGGATTACACTTTCTCAATGAAGCACAGATTCTAGTACTTTGTGTGTGTGTGTGTGTGTGTGTGCGTGCGTGCGTGCGTGCGTCGCGTCGCGTCGCGCGTCGCGTCGCGTCGCGTCGCGTCGCGTCGCGTCGCGTGCGCGTGCGCGTGTTGAGTCCCATCGGGATGCCGAGGGTGGCTGAGCGGTCTCTGCGTCTGACTTTGTGTGCTGGTGATTAGGTGCCTGACTCTGAGGGTGTGGGTTCGAATCCCAGATGGGACTCAACCCCCACAAAAAGTACTAGAATCTGTGCTTTACTGGGAAAGTGTAATCCCAAATATAACATATGTGGCTAAGAAAAGGTTTTGAGCCTAAAATACTTCTGATATGTGCATGTGAAAAGCTATGACAGCTATGATGGGGTACTTGTACTGCTGTCAATCGCTCTTCAATGTGCTTCTCCTAGTGGCCCTCGAGGACCAAACACTTTATGACTGCTCTGTACTCAAGCTTATCCATTTCTGCCATTTCAATAGGTGTACATGTGATTAGATGTCACGTGACCAGAAACTAGCGACATGACGTGCATGTCAGTATTATGTTTATGTGAATGATATAAACCATTCTTCAATATCATCCAGTTATTGTTATCATACACATATCAGAAGTATTTTAGGCTCAAAACTTTTTGATAGCAGCTCATACACACATTAACACAAAACAGTGATTTATCTGAACATGCTGAGTGGCTGGTACTTGGCTCAAAGTTTGTAAAATATTTCAGTAAACATGGCAAATGTTTCCAGATTAAAATAAAAAATGTCCCTGATCAAGTTAATATGGCTTTGTGAATGACTTCTGTTTCTTTGTGAACAGGAGCAATGAAAAGAAATAGGCAGTCACTTTTAATCTCCATTTGTGTGTCAAATGCAATGCTAAAATACAATATTAAATATCTTTCTAAGATGCCTAGCGGTAAGAACAATCGATAAAAAAATACATTATCAGACAATAAAGGTATAGTTTTGTGATGACGTAACAATTGAATGATGTTATCCCGTCATTGCTCCATTCTAGTGTGTCCCCTCGTATCGAACCATTTTACATTACGTCACAATGTAATTAAAATTATTTAGAGAAGATATTTAATCCGAACGTAAACCGTCATCAAACTGTTTATCATTTGTTTTTCTGGTAACGTTCGTCTTAACGTAAGGGGGCAGACACATCAATAGAACAGCTCGCCAGTTAGCCCTGTGCGAGGATTCTTAATTTAGGTCACCGACACCACCGTTTGTTTTCTGCCTTACATTAATCGTAATTATCCCTAGAAAGTATTAAATTTGGCATCTTAGAAAAGAAATACAGTTCGCTCTACCACCATGTATAGTGTAATAAAACACACTTTCGCCCTGAACTATTATAGTTAAAGTACGAGGACCAGACAAACCAGAGCGAACTGTATTTCTTAACTACATTTCAGATCTTAAGAACAAATAATAGTTTTATCCCTATTTGCCTGTCAAGGACACTTTGCGTTTAATCCTAGATAAATCCCTGCCGAAATTATCCATGCTGCCACCTTGGAACAGGTGCATTACATCCCTTTCAGGAGATCAATACTGGTTTCGAATTTCCACATTGATCGTAATTATTCGATCACTTGCTCCAGCACTATTACCAAGAATACTAAACAGTACTACCGTTTTTAAAAGACTTCATACCAGTTGCTATAGTCACAGATTGTGTTCCAGAATAAGTTAATTTTCATACTGTCAATATGGGAGGACTGACAACCATGATGACCAACTGACCATTTCCTCGGACTTCTCTGCCTTGTCTTTGATATCCTTGATCTTGGTGAACAGATCCTGGATAGCTTTCTGTGCCTCTTCCAAAGCCTGTCTCCCTTCCTCACCCACATTTGTCTGACCTCGGACAACTGTCCGAACTTCATCATCAAGGCGTCTGAAATTTGCAGTAGCTTCCTTACTAAGTCTTATTAGTTGTTAACTGTGTAAAACACAGTGAGTCAACAGGTCCTTGTTAATATTACAGTTTTTGGTAATGTAACATGATAAAGATCATTGGGTTAATAACTAAAATACCATTGCCGAAAACCTCAGATACTTCGATCGTTTTTCAAATTTCGTTTAGATATTTGTCTTTGTCTAATGCTCTATTTTTAAAACATCCTTCAGCAAATGCTTTAACCACTAGGCTACCCCACCGCCCTGTGTTGCAATGACCATGCTTGTATATGAGCACTTGTGTCTACCAGATCTGACTTTTCCTGTCCTTATAGCACTAGCGCTAGCCCATTGAGATACCATGCTTGAGTTTATCATGGAGACTCCACTCAAGCACATGATACTGGCTCCAAACCACCAAGTCCTTGTTTTATCTGCTTAACCCTAAATGCCCGACAGGGTAACAAGAAGCATATATGTACCAACTTTTAATGTTTTAATATGATGTTGCCAGGGATAAAACTACTGACGTTCTTCTCTGCAGGAAGATGCCCTATCCACTGGACCATGGAGGTGGTCAATGAAGCGAGGTAATCAAAATATCAATAGAGTGAGCGAGTTTAGTTTTACGCCACACTCAGCAATATTCCAGCTATATGGCGGCGGTCTGTAAATAATCGAGTCTGGACCAGACAATCCAGTGATCACCAGCATGAGCATCAATCCACACATTGGGAACCGATGTCATGTGTCAACCAAGCCAGCGAGCCTGACCACCCAATCCTGTTAGTCGCCTCTTACGACAAATATGGGTTACTGAAGGTTCATTCTAACCCGGACCATCATGGGAAAATATCAATAGAACTAATTATATGCATATATAGATAGTAACAGATTATACAATGTTGTAAAGTGTAACAAACCTTATTTTGAACCTAATTTTATTAACAACATCATCTATGTTTGCCAGAGACTGTTCAGTCGGAAACAGCGAGTTGATATAGTCCACTGGGTTGAAGTCAGGCCTGTCAAGGGGGTCATTACTTGGAAGCACCTTAAATCCAAAACAGACATAATGGCTTGTGTTAATCATAGCTTTTATGATCTAGTGACATGTTTTACAATTATTCATGTGATAAAGAGAACAACACTGTATGCTCCCAACTCATAACACGAGGATATTGTCTGACATCAAAGACTTCAAACCTCCTGAACATGACATATCAATTTTGGACACCTTCCATGTCAACATGGTATCTGTAGGTAATAGCCTAACACAACTGATAGCAAACAAGTAAGTGTTCGCGTCATGAAATAATTATATCTCCACTTTTTACGGATTTAACGTAACAACAGGTTATGATTACTGGAAAAATTATATTTGATTTTTAATGAAAAGTTTCAATGGCTGTACATAATGATTGGAAGACAGAAGGCGGCGATACCGTTTATTTTTGTTCTTAGTGTTATGAAATTGGTCTTTAGAGTTACAAGTATTTAATCATATAACAACACAAACAATTACGAGCAATCGTCACGCCCACCACACGAAACTGAAATTACTAATTCAGAGTTATCTCCCCTCTCCGTCACGATAAATAATATTTGTGAGTATAGTCCGATAGGGGGTTCCACTGTCATTCAAACGTGTTTTAATCAAGCAAAAAAAAGAACTCAGTCTAACTTGATCTATAGCTTCCTGGACATCTGCTGGAAAAGACAGCAGAGACTCCAGTTGATCATCATCGACAATATCTTCGTCGTCAATAGTCGCCATGATGAAAGTAGTGCATTAGCGTAGTAAGGATATTGTCACGTTTGCAAATTTCGCTATATACACGTATGTCCCTGTTACAGTCTTATTATAAATCAACTATTCTTACTAAGACCGTGTAAAATTATCACATATATCACATATGGTATTGAGTGTTTGCTTCTGCAGTAACGGTTTATTTTCCTCCAAAACCGGATGCCACTTCGCGGATGTTGTGAGGCTAAACCATGTGCTTCACATATCAACAAACCACAACCGGCGATGTCAGGATGTCTTTCCCTCAAACGTCTGCATTGCATTTGTTATCACTAATGCATGTTATAACCCATCTAAGTGCCACCCTCTCATAACCCACACAGTTATATCATACAAATCTATATAGATATGTTAGCTTCAGTAAGGAAAATCCGTCAGTAGCGTTACCAGCCTAGTCAATATGGTACTGCCTAGTCAGTAAGGATACTGCCTGAAATTTATAGTAGGCAGTAGCGTTACTCCCTAATACATTTAAAACAACAAAGAATACACATTAAGAAGTTGAAATTTATTGCCTCCTCTCACATACACAGAAGAGTAAATTGATTGATTACATATTCATATTACATGAAAACTTCAAGACATGATTCACTAAGAAGCGGTTGTTTGGCAATACCAAACTGATTTCTCTGGTATCGTCCTTCAAACTGACCATGTCTAGTCGCGATACTACATGAATCATCATCGTTCACGTCTAGAATGTACCCAATCAAGTTTCTCATCCCTTACCTCGATTGAACTCTGGAATTTTAATGTACACTGCATCTCCAGCTTGTGGTAACCCTAAAAATACCTTTCTATGCTTTGCCATTTGTGTACTTCTTGTTACAACCTGCCTCTTGGCTAAAAAAATACTGTAAATTTCCAGTAAATTCTTTGCGACTTTTGCACCACATTGGGATTCAAGGGGCCATAACTGACAATCACCAGCTGACTCATCATGAGTAAATAGTGATTCAGCTATCAATTAACAACCTATGTGCTGTGCATTGTGACATTGAATGTTGGTACTAACTTTTTACAATGCTTTTGTTCACTGTATTTCACTCTTATACCATCAATGGAGAAATAAAGAGATAGGCAATAAGCGGAAAAATTAAAAATATAATTCAGTCAGAAAACTTACTGTCTAGTCGTTTTAGTCAGTAGCGCTACTGACTAGGCAGTACCTTATTGGCTAGGCAGTAACACTACTGACAGTTTCCTTATTGATGCTAACATATATACACATTGCAATCTATCATCATGATTTCATGCTGTGTTCATTGTCTGCAGTTGAATATCAACTCACTAACATCTTAAATCTTAAATACCCTGATTTTTTCAGCTTCACCTGAACTTCCCCTCTCTATTTTTACTATAATAATTTTTGCCACTTCCACCACCAAATACAACTGTCAAGCATCTGACTTCCTTTTACACCTGTCAGATGCTACCTGTATTCTGATTGGCCTTTTGGTCCTCTTCTCTAAACTTCCTTTCTCACCAGCCCTCCTCGTGCATTCTGCATGAACTCTTATATGAGGGAGGTTCTCTTTTCCAGCCTTCCTCCAAACTATGACACCACAATAAAATTCAGCCTTCATCAAAGAACATCCTATGTTATGACCAGCGGTAAAGTGGCTTGACACTTACCTACCACGCCCATCTACACATACATAATTGTACTTTTCTTGACTTATGAAAACGCAACAGTGAAGTGGTGCTTTCATTACAATTTAACCATAAGAAGAATCTCTTGAATATGAAACAGAAACCAAATGACAATATTATAATATCATCTCTGATATGAATTATGATAGAAAACTTAGACCATACCAAAAGTATAAACTCAGAACTGTGTTTATTTGGAGTGTGTAAATTTGCTCTGCTGTAATTAATACTATTTACATGTCCATCTATTTAGCCTACATTTCTTTACTACCAATTGTTATACATATTACAATAGAATATTGCTCTCTCTGAATGCAAAGGATGGCCTTTTTCATATTCATTATATGGCCTTCATGTTGTTTAGATTGCTTCTTTGAGAGACAACGATACTCTGTTCATCACTTGGTTAACAACAGTGTTGAAACCTACACTGAAGGAAGTTATAGGGTAGGCCACGTGATCAAACATTTCCTATTGCAATAAAGAAGTTGTTCATCTAGCTTTTATCTTATTCTTATTTTTGTATCATTTCTGAGGTATGGAGACCCGTGAAGATCCGGGTAGAATAGGTCTTCAGCAACCCATTCTTGTCATAAAAGGCGACTATGCTTGTCGTAAAAGGCGACTAACGGGATCGGGTGGTCAGGCTCGCTGACTTGGTTGACACATGTCATCGGTTCCCAATTGCGCAGATCGATGCTCATGCTGTTGATCACTGGATTGTCTGGTCCAGACTCAATATTTACAGACCGCCGCCATACAGCTGGAATATTGCTGAGTGCGGCATAAAACTAAACTAACTCACTCACTCTTAGGGAAGGCGGAGAGTGAGATCATCACACCCTGTACAAAGGTACAAACTTGAAATTGCTGGAGTATATTTTCTGTGATCTTTTCACACATTTGAAGGAGAATTAAAGAAATTTCCAGTCTGTACTGGCTCTTTACTAATATTTTACTTTTCTTGACATTGTGTTTATATACTACCCATCAAAAGTTTAGACTCACTAGTGTAAATGTAGCCACTTACTTGTCCACTGTTCTAAACTAGCTTTTTGCAAAATATTCCATACTGTTTAAAGGTACTGTTTAGTTATGAACTGGTGTATTGTAAAACATATTCGTAACATTGAAAAGATTATTGTCATGAGTTCAGTAAATGATTAAAATCTGTGAAAATTGGCGAATTCTTAACAAAACTTTACACCAAAACGAATCTGTTCACATGCACGACATTTGCTCATGCCTTTCGCAATTTGAAGCATCATCCTTGTGCAATTCATCTGCATAAGGTTTTCAGTTGGTTCCCCCAAGTTGGTGGAGAAATTCATCTTCGATGTAACCACATACATATACATAACATATAGTGAGTGCTTTAAGTGAGTCTAAACTTTTGATGGGTAGTATATAACACATGTTCATGCATTAACTGAACTGCAAAGCAAACTGTTCTTGCTTGTTGTTTAACATTGCCCTCAGCAATATGCCATGGGTCATTGTGTGAAGCCTATTTCTGGTGTTCCCCATTGTGACATTGCCCTCAGCAATATGCCATGGGTACATTGTGTGAAGCCTATTTCTGGTGTTACCCATTGTGACATCGCCCTCAGCAGTATGCCATGGGTACATTGTGAGAAGCCTATTTCTGGTGTTACCCATTGTGACATCGCCCTCAGCAATATGCCATGGGTACATTGTGTGAAGCCTATATCTGGTGTTCCCCATTGTGTACATTGGCCCTCAGCAATATGCCATGGGTACACTGTGTGAAGCCTATTTCTGGTGTTCCCCATTGTGACATCGCCCTCAGCAATATGCCATGGGTACATTGTGTGAAGCCTATTTCTGGTGTTACCCATTGTGACATCGCCCTCAGCAATATGCCATGGGTACATTGTGTGAAGCCTATTTCTGGTGTTCCCCATTGTGACATCGCCCTCAGCAATATGCCATGGGTACATTGTGTGAAGCCTATTTCTGGTGTTACCCATTGTGACATCGCCCTCAGCAATATGCCATGGGTACATTGTGTGAAGCCTATTTCTGGTGTTCCCCATTGTGACATCGCCCTCAGCAATATACCATGGGTACATTGTGTGAAGCCTATTTCTGGTGTTACCCATTGTGACATCGCCCTCAGCAATATGCCATGGGTACATTGTGTGGAGCCTTTTTCTGGTGTTACCCATTGTGACATCGCCCTCAGCAATATGCCATGGGTACATTGTGTGAAGCCTATTTCTGGTGTTACCCATTGTGACATCGCCCTCAGCAATATGCCATGGGTACATTGTGTGAAGCCTATTTCTGGTGTTCCCCACTGTGAAAATTTAAAGCCGTTTTCAAGACACCATTTATTTATCTTGTTTAAACACAACTGTAGTTACCGTTCAATAGTATGCATATTTTTACCACGACAAGAAATATTAAAATCATCCACAAGAAGTGATCCATCAATTGAATCGTTTAAAACCTTGGATAAACTGTTGATCTTGATACTAAATAAAGTGACAGACAAAATACTGCCTTGCGGGACACCCTGATCCTGATTATAATGATCAGACAGGGTAGAACCCACTCGGACTTGAAATTCCCATTCTTGTGTACATCAAACAGAACGAAACCCATGCTAATCTTGTCTTCTCAATAATACCTGTTCAACTATCAGTCAATCTGTACCATAATTGGGTTAATTAATCAGGCAATGTACACAATGCCTGGACAGTTTAGACATTGACTGTAACATGTATAAGATTCATTCTTAACGGTTCCGTTTCCTTACAAGGATCTACTCAAACATGAAAAATGTATCTATCAGTTAATATGTTAAAAAATATACAAATAATTACCACTCTTCCATGTTGTTTTGTGTGTCGTGTTTCAGAGGGTCCGGCAGGAGCTGTTCTTCCCGATTCAAATGTACTTGGCAGGAAAAGAAGAGAAATTAGGTACAGCCTAAAGAGACCACCTGCAAACTGAGACACGTTGTCATGTGAAAAGCACTTGGCAAAGACAAGATGATCCGTCAATAGCCTGTTATGCTTTGATAAGCTCCATCTAATCAAATTCACAAAAATATATTGTAGTTGATGGCAATTTATAACATTTATGTTACACAACATTTGATGATGATGCTATAGACGCTCTGAGTGTACATTTCATCAATTTTGTTATTGGCAACAAAATGAAATAAATGTTTACAGAATTTTGAATGTGTTAAATCCTTTTTGCATGTGGCTGATCACAACCGCCATGCAAACACTGTACCAGAATATGCAATGCTTGACTTAATTTCAAACGGTAGCATTGTGGACGATGCCAACAGTGATTACACTGGTGTCTGCAAGTGTTTTCTTTCCAATGAGTATTGGTAACTTGTGCGCCAAAATACTTAAGTTTCCAGTGGTAATTCTGTGTTATTTTCTCGTGTACGTGTACGTAATGTAGCCAAGATACAATGTAATTTAAACGAAATGTTTGGTACCTTTGATACTTTCGTTGGCGTTTTTATTCCAGTCGTGGGAGATATTTTGGAGGACTAGCAGTTTGTATACGGAATTCATTGGCGCATTTTTTCCAATGAGTCTTCTACCAACATATGTTTCACTCTAAAGGATAAGTTGTCTCCTTTTACCATCTCGCTGGTGTTTCTTTTACATATACAGTTCTTCGTGAAGAAAATGGTGTTGAGTATTTAGAACAACTGCTGATGCACCTCATTCATGACTACGGGGAAACACGTAAATCTATCATATGTGGTGACTTTAATGGTAGAACTGGGTGTAAACAGGACTGTATTTTAAATGATGGTGTTGGTTATTTACAAACGGGTGATTTTAGTTTAGTTTTAACTTTAGTTGAAGTGAGTGAGTGAAATTTTAAGTCACATCGGCAATATTTCAGCCATATCGTGACTAAAAACAAGTTATAATTTCATAATAAAAACAGGTAAATTATAAAACCCTGTCAACCAAGGACAGTAAAATAACTAGTTTATCACTGATTTCAAATTAAAACTAGTAATGAACTATAAAACATTTTAACTAAATGTATATATGAAGTTTTTGAAATGTTTTTAGAAGTTTGACGAACATGAATACATGACACTTTTATGGATCAGGTGAAGGAGCAAGAATTAGATCTGGAACGTCGTGTAAAGAATAAAAAAAGAAGTTGTTATCCATAAAAGTGTCATGTATTCACTGTATATATGACAACACAATATAAAAACAGGTAATAGATTGCCAACTGCTGAAGGTAGATCACCATACTAGGGACCATGGGACTTTAGTTGAACTTTAGTTTGGACATCTGTGATCTATATGGGATATTTATTCTCAGTGGGAGCTCCAAGATGAATAATTATGGTGATTTTACCTTTATCTCCAGCACCGGATGCAGTAGTGTTGATTATTGCATTGTGCCTACCGAGTTGTTTCCAACTATTTTAGATATGTGAGTTACACAGTACACAGAGTCGGATCATTTACCGATAGTGTGTGCAAAAAGTATTCGGACACTTGACGTAATTTCCATAGACTTAAATGTTAATTTGGTATAGCATAAATAATTTTCATGAATTTAATTTTTGTAAGATCCAAGTCAAATTTTGCGCACTTGTGAGGAACCATCTTACCTACAATCACATAATTTCTGTTTAATTTTCCGTTGCTTATTTATCGAATGGCGCCAATTTAATCAACAGTGTACAGTGCCGTGAACTCCTTTAATGAGGCGGCCTATGAGTTTGTGCATTGTGGAACCATACATAAGTTGATAAATGTGATGTGATTAGTGAAATAGTGGACGGAAAATTGAACCGAAATTATGTGCGCAGAGCAGAGATGATTTCAAATTTTCCTGTCAAATTTTACAAAGATCCATCCCAAACTCACATCATGAAAATTATTTATGCTACACTGAAATAGCATGTAAGAATATGGAAATCACGTCAAGTGTCCGAATACGTTTTGCAGGGGTCTGGGGTCCAACACTAAATTCCCTTTCACTGACCTTAAACCTGCTATTCGACAATATGTAACAGATCACTGGCAGCAGGGTTTGGATTGATAAGCTTCGAATAAGCTTCATTCCATTAATCCAAATATTGGACGGAATCCATTTCTCGGACTAAATCGTCAAGATGAGGTTGTGATTGTGATACAATGTGTTTAATTCGCAATGGGGCCACATGCCCATGATACAGATATTGCATTACAGGTATGTGTGACATACAAAGAGTTTGAAATAATGGCTAACAATTATAATAATGTACGCATACAAGAATAACAACGTTTCCAAAATACATGTATTAGAAATCTTATCTAAGAGGGACATCTTTAGAGAACATTTGTCTTTTCTAGGCTGCTAAAAAAGGAATTTACTGACATTTCTTAAGAATACACCTTTTGAGAAAAATCATGCTCGCATCTTGTCCGAAGTTGGATATTCCAAGTAATATTTTTGAAGAAGTATATCTTAAATTATGATAAAATGGGCCCTTTAAACAAAAATGGTACTCGGATTCAATGTTTGGGACAATACAGAATTGACACAATCCTTCTGATCTAGGAATATTCTATTAATAGCTCATGACTGACTGACTGACTGAGTTTAGTTTTACGCCGCTTTTAGCAATATTCCAGCAATATCACGGCGGGGGACACATTGTGCCCATGTGGGGAATCGAACCCGAGTCTTCGGCGTGACGAGCCAACGCTTTAACCACTAGGCTACCCAACCACCCCAATAGCTCATGATGTGAACAACAAAATCGGATGAAATTAGTAATAAAAACTGTTCCTGTTACAGTTTCAAGTATATTTGAGTAACTAAACTGATTATTAAGAGTTCTATAGAAATCCAACTTCGCTAAAGGCTCTTCATCTGCACTCCAGCATTGCTGCTAAATATCGATACATCTTTCCTTAAACTGAGAAATAAATAGAACACTATTTCCTATACCTTGTTGTAGCCATACTTCACCCAAACCATAACGGAATTATAATGACTGAACGTTTAAAGAGAGCCACTCAACCAAACCCTTTCACATGAGCGTAATTTATCGCCGTTGCGAAAGACCACAACTTTACTCGAGCAATATTGATTGAGAGATCCATTTATGACAAATTTCTGATTGTAAATTTAATCTTTTTTGCAAACCAACGGTACTTATATCCGTAACTGCAATGTCGCTGGGAATGAGGTTGTGATTACACGATTTCGTATACACATTCCTCTTTACTGATATTCTAGTTCTTTGTAATATGCTTTGTTGACAGGGTTTTATAATTTAACTCTATGTATTATGAATCTATAACTTGTTATAGTCACGATATGGCTGAATCTCACTCACTCACTGACACTCGCTCACGAATCTGGCACCAATCGCTAGCGCAAACTGTCAGCCGTCTAACCAACTCAGCCAACGCGGATTCCGCAAGATGGAATTCGGTCAAATGGTAGTTTAGACTACGGACTTTGTGCACCCTTCTGATAAGAATAAATTGGCATGGCTCTCAATTACGGCTCCCTACTGAGAAAGTGTAATCCCAAATATAACATGTGTGATTTTTGACCACTGAAAGGCATTGTGTAGTCATAGCTTTTGGTCGTGCCGTGCCAATTTACACTTGGTCCAGACTACCAGTTGTCCGACTTCCATTTTTATAGAAGCAGAGGAGGCTGAGAGGGTTAGATGGGTGACTAATTAGTCTTGATTAACTGCTGAAACAGTAGTGACAATATTATGAAAGGATCGGAGACAATCAGTGAGTGCAGAATGTGTTCACGAAAAGAGAAGCATAAATGCACAACAAATATCTTTATCACTTCTTTAACACAAAGGCATGTTTTATATATACTGAACATCATTGAAAACGCACCAGTCTAAAATTGTCCATATTTTCATCAAGATGGATTTCAGCATGACAATAATCAATGAATATAACTAACATGAAGTCGAAGTGCATGTCCAGTTGAAAAAAGTGCTTTAGAAACAAATTCCTGTCCACAGTATGACTCTTAATTCCAAAATGCATCAACATACAGCCACGCCATGAAAAAAGCGCGTTTTGTACTCTTGAATGTGATACTTAACTGATATATTAGTGATTTTCAACATCATTTCTTTCAGTGTATTGTAAAACAAAAGACATTTCCCGTACGTAGTACTGTACGTCCTATGGTCCTTAGTATGGTCCCTCTATTTTAACTTGTTGCAATGTCTAGACTGTTATTATATTGACTTCGATTGTTAAAATGTTTTAGATGTTTATACAAGTTTTAAATTTGTATTAGTGATATTCTAGTTCTTTGAACTGTGCTTTGATGGCAGGGTTATATATTTCAACTTTATGTATTATGAATATATCACTTGTTTTAGTATTGATATGGCTGAATCTTACTCACTCACTGACACTCGCTCACGAGCAAGCACAAAATCTCAGCCGTCAAACCCACTCAGCCATCGCATTTTCCGAAAGATGGAAGTGGGTCGAATGGTGGTTTAGACCACAGACTGTGTGCACCCTTCTGATAAGTGTAAATTGGCAGTGCTCCCAATTACGGCTCCCATACTGGAAAAGTGTAACCCCAAATATAACGTGTGACTTTTGGCCACTTTCTGAATGGCATTGTGCATTCATAGTTTTCGGTCGTGCCGTGCCAATTTACATTTGGTCTAGTTTACCAGTTGTCCGACTTCTATTTTTATGGAAGCCGAGGTGGCTGAGTGGGTTAGACGGATGACTAATCAGCCTTGATTAACCGCTGAAACAGCAGTGACAATATTATGAATAGATCAGAGAAAATAAGCGAGGGCACAATGTCTTCGCGAAAAGAGAAGCATAAATGCACAGCAAATACCTTTATCACTTATTTAACACAAAGGCAAGTTTTATATATTTTCTCCTTCAGGTGAAACGAATGGTGCCTGGTGTCTTGCTGCCAACGATACCAAGCCTTGTTGCGAGGTACGACATTCCAAGCCCCACCTGGTGGCCATTCTAATGTATATTCAACAGCCGAATGTACAACACTACTGAGAGCTGCCAGTTACTTTCATTAAGACCTTCACCTTGCAGTATCACAACGTCTACAATGGCACCATGGAAAACTACATGGTGACATGGTGGTAGGATGTCTTTATGAGAAATGTGTACCAGATATTGATAAAACCTAGGCAGTTTAATGGGCATGTCATCTTGT